TGGTTGAAAGGTGAGTGTGTTTAAGTTAATTTTAACAAAATTTGCTATACATGGGGATATAGATTCATTCTTATTTCAATAAAAGTGAAATCATATATGAATGATTAATACTTATTGTTTCATTTTCGAACAAAGAATTATGGAGTTTTCTTTTTGTAGGAGTTATCAGTGTAATTGATTATTATCACAAGGGGGTTTTGTGGAGAATTTTAGTAATTTAATAGTTGCATTCATGAGTCAATGAAAGCTAAACCATCATGGAATACCTGAGAGCATTGGATGGCCGTTTCGTACCATGATGGGACTCCCCAGTGATGTGCATCCACAAAACACCTATTCTGATAATAATTATCATGTGCTCACTAGTGACTGGCTTCAAGAGGTGTTTCCTGGAATTCTTATTAAGAAATAACAAATAATTATCTTCTTTTGTTTATATTAGTTGTTGACCTAATTTATGATTGTAATGAGAATGGTGTTTTTCTTTTAATGAAATCTTCATGTAGATAGGATTACAAGATGAACAGTATATTTGTTAAAGGTGACATCGTTCAGATTGTGTAATATTACAGATAAAATTTTCAGACATTTCACTATCAGTGTAGGTATTTCACTGAAATAATTACAGTATAAATAACATCTTAACTATAGACCTCGAGGGATTACTTTACAACTTGTTTGCAATGTTATTTTACAAGTGGAAGTCATACACTCAAAAAGCTTTTTTGCATAGCTAACTTCAAGTTTTTTTTATTAAGTTAGAGATTTTGTCTCATTGATATAAATAAATCTTTTTCAACACTAGACCTTCCTGTTCTTTGTTCAATTCATCGTTGTGGTTGTTTACACAACACAAAACAGTTATTCAATACACTTGTGTGTTTATTGACTCTTAAACTGACGCCAGTGAGTGATAAAAACTAATGTTAGGTGATGAATTACCACTATATCCAAATATGTGTATTAATGATATGCACTTTCTTGATTTATATAACGCTGTTAAAAAAAATACATTTTATTACTAATAGTGCCCACATAATTTTTTTATGATCATCACAACGAGCAATAAGTAACCATTACTAACAATAAGGTGTCGCGGATTTGCAGCTTACATTATGGATTAATTTTTATTTAGACAATCACTGAAATCCAGGAAGCATTAGATAGGCAAAACCCTTAACACTAGATTTGAATGTCTTCAATTCAATCTCTGTTGAGTCATGAATATTGACTTCCAAAAAGTTCCATAGTTAGGAGAAACACAAGTCTTATGGTTCTCGATTTTCAGTGGCTGTTTAACTAAAAGGTATTAGCCAACACAAAATTGATACCTTTCAGAGTCTTGAAGTACACAACATTAGATACTCATGTTGCCAAATGGATTTGAAGCTAAGAGTTTGACGTTTAGTGGTGAACAGAGCTATTTTGAGATACACAGTGGGGTGTTGTAAAGTTCATATTTTGTACTTCAGTCATTTCGAGATATAATAAGTTTTTCAACCAATCCCAATAATATTCTCTCACTTCACTTCTTATTCGGTTAGTATGATAAGTAATTGCTTATAATTAGTACTTTGAAAATCAATGAATATTACACTCTTTTTACCAGTAAAAAGTGACAATTATTTAAAAAGAAAGGGTGAAAAGGGAATTCATTTTGTTACCTCTAACCACTCTCCATACAATAATGAGTTCTGTACACATTAATCGATTATCATACAGTTGATAAATAATTGTGAACTCTACTTTTTAATACTACCAAAATTCAGTCAAATAAATTACACACCAAACATAAAGGTTTTGTATTATCGTAATTCAGTTTAGTCAGATATTTTCAGATATAAAATAATTGATACTTAGTTTTTCAATTACAATTTCTGACATAAAGAGCCACTCAGAAGTAATCTAATGAAAAAGTCAATTGATGGCAATCAGAAGTGACCTAAATATCAAGTGAATTTCATTGGGGTCAATTCCGTTAAGATTGAGTGATATATATATATATATATATATATATATATATATATCAACGAGTACTTGTTCATTTCATTTGGTAGTCGAATATACTTTCTCGTTCACCGTTGTGTTCTCACCCAAGTATTCAGTTGGGAGGTCAGACCTTAGCGCAAAGTGTATCGGTATCAGATTTCGGGCACCTCAAGTTACAACAATTTCAACCTAACATGTTGTTTTGAAATACTATGCCATGATGAATTCATATATAGCAGATAAGGTAAAACAATTTAATACTGATCAAATAAATTTCAATAGGTTCATTAATAAATATCATTCGTTAGTCCTTTTTCGTAGAACTGCATGAGGTACTAGACACTGTCCATCATGATAATCTTATGATAAGGTTTGACGTTGAAAGCAGTAATAAACAAACATTCAACAACACTAAATTTTTCGTCTTCATAAAATTATGCAGCCGTATGAAAACTACTAAATATTTGGTATATGAATTAACAACAATATATGGTATTGTAAGCAATGATGGATAGTGGCTAGTAGTGGAATTCAGGAAGCGCGTTTCGTCCTATCTGGGACTGCTAGCCACTATCCATCTTTGCTTATAATGCCTGTGAATTAAGGCTATATCGAGGCAATACGCACAGTATGTACATACGCCAATTAGAGGCTGACCATTTGCAGTCCTAAACATCAATACGAAGATTTAAACAAACAATACTAAGTGAACTTAATATAAAGTATTTATCGATAATGTATACCATTTTTTGTTTATCTTTATACGCATCACCGGTAACGACTAGGTATATCAGATCACTGAGAATTCAACTATATATATTCATTCTGGAGGCATCAAGTTGATATCTTTAATACTTGTAAATCGAATGAATCTTCTAAATGACGATATTTCTTATCAGTTTTTTTCATGAAGTTAACTTCACTCTAAAATCTTATTCATCTAAACTGCGCTCTTCTTTATTGTGCAGGATACATAACCTAACATACATTTTTCATTCAGTAAAAATATTTTATATAAACTTGGATCTACGACGGACACAGGATTGATTTACTCTATTAGTCCTAATTTTTCTAAACACATATCCATAAAACATTAAATAGGAATAATATATATTTGTAAAATCTCAGCGAATGAATTTGTAGTAAATCCAAAGTTTCGCCTGGCAATCTACTCCAAGCTTTTTCAGGGAATTATATCCATAAAGGTGTGAAAATTTAGAAAACTATTATGTTTAACACTTCACAATCTGAATAAAAATGAACCTGGAATATATGTCTATAGAATGTCTATGAGGAAGATGCCTGACATTTGTTCTGAAATGTTACTACGAAAATGTCTGCATCATAACTATTGTAGCATATTATTTTCTGTAGGCACAACAACACAGAACATAAACAAATCATAACAGTTACCTTATAATAGATTAAAGCTGCAAACAGTTAAATATACCGAGATATAAGAGATCTACCACTTGAAATAATCAGAAGAAAAAGTCCATATATTTGTTGATGAAGATGATTGATGTGTCTCCTTGCTAAGAATAATCTCATGATAAATATTTATAACATCAGAAGGGGTTTTAAGGATATTATAGTAATTTCAATAGTTGAAATCATAAGTCAATTGAAGCTAGACAGGATTGCGCACTGCTGAAGAGTCACACAATAGGACGAAATGGCCGTCCAGTGCTTCTGGATTTTCCATGGTGGTCTAGCTTCAGTTGACTTATGATCTCAACTATATGAAATATTCATAACTCAAAAATCACTTCAGATATTAAAAGTTTTCTCATTGTCAGAATTACAGTTTCATAGATAAAACATCAGTCTTCGTGCTACTCATAGACAATAAAACTCAGAGTAAATTACTTCATATGTCTACTTTCTGTGATTTAACATTACATTTACGTAATAATTACTTAGCTGATAACGCTTGATTCATACTGCTATCATCATCAATCATCAGGTCATCTATCACACATGTTCATAATTACGTCACCAGTTGATTCTTAGAAGAGTTGTTAAGCAAAATAAAAATTAATGACTTTATTATTTAACAGAATACTGACATTGAAATATTAATTACACATTGAGATCCTTCAATTTGACTTTTCGTAGATTTATGTGTATGTCTTTTCTTTTCAATATTCCACTTACACAAGTTATATAATCTAATTTAGATGAGAATTTTATATTCAATAAGCACAATTAAACGTTTTGACAAAATACAGCATTTAGTTACATGAGTCTTTAATTCTCCAAATAAAAATATTATCTATTGAATATCCCAGAGAATCATGAACTCTGAATTGGTTTACAAAATGCCTCAGTTCATAATTCTCTGGTTGAAACCTCTCTTTAAAAAACTTCTTCCATAGTCACAATAATTTGACGGTCCCTGTAAAATGGCGTGAAATCTGTCGTAGTGTACAAAATTTGTGCTATTATTATTTGTTTGTCTTTTCATTTTATTTTTCGTAATTATCATTATCAATTATAGATGATCATTATTCAAATATACACTAGTTACTTTTAATTTATTGGTTATATAGTTGTAAAACCCTTTGCAATCAGGAAAAAAATAATAACGCCGTTGGATACCGGCTCAGTGGTCTAGAGGTTAAGTGTTCGCGTGTTAGACTGACAGGTTCTGTGTTCGAATCTCGCGAGGCAGGATCGTGGATGCGCACTGCTGAGAACGAAACGGCCGTCCATTGCTTCCACGTTTTCCATGGTGGTCTAGCTTCAAATGACCCATGATTTCAATTATATAGAAAAACAATAAGTGATTACTATTCAAATAATATGCGATTTAAATTAGTTATGACTAGTGTAAACTTTGGATTATTATAAAGGTGTTTTGTTTTAGTCTGTAACTTATTAGCAACATGAAATAGCTGAGCAGTGCCGTCTAAATTTCGATAGCTCTCAAGCGCTGAAGTCACTTCACTGAATAAGTTTTCACCGTAACACTAATATGTATATGTTTATATTTATCACTTTTCTTTCAGTCGGCCAAGTGTGGCACTCGCGGACTATGATATTTCGGATAGAAGGTAAACCCATTTATTATTGAGATTTATCTTTATTACATATATTTAGGAATAAGCTATCATAGTCGTTTTACTAACACTCAGTTATTCATTATCCTTCATTTTAAAGTTAAATATTCCACTATACATCATTTCATTTCACATATTCAGACAAGGATTTTCCAAAAGCCTTCATAACAACTTTTATTCAATGAAACGTATTGAATGTGTGTCAGAAGGGATAATTTTACTCATCAATTTATTGATTAGTGGGGATTAATAGTTATAGTGAGAGAAAGTAAAAAAAACCTAGTTTATGACATAAATCAAGACGCTAAAAATGGATATATGTAAGGCTTGTATTATCTTGTTGCTAAAAGTGAAGACTGCAATTGGTCAGTCGTTTTTCCCGTATGTACATCTTGAACAAATTCCTTCATATTGGCACTTAGTTTAAATTTTTATAAAAGTCATTTGACGAAATCCACACCTTGAATCCTATCATATGGTAAATCTTAGAATATATGTGGTTTCAATGTGATATTCAATTCAATTTCCAGTAACCGCATTAGCGCCACGTTGAAATAATTCAGTGTTAATCGTTTAATAGTACTGTGGTCTAGATGGATGTAGTTTCGAAGAAATTTTTATTAAGGTTTCGGATATTCACGTTTCCCAATAAACCTATTCAAAAGTTAGTTTTCTTATTTGATATTGAAAACGTGATAGAGTAACGCAGAAACGCATTGAGTTTCTGAAAATCCACAGGATCCTTGACCAGTTTAAAACAATGTTTTCTCTCTAAGACACCATATATTAAAGCTGTGTAATCGTGTTCCTAAGTATTTTTTTTTTCGCTGAAATTTTTTTTTTCAACTTCGCTATAATTTAAATCTGAATCAATTCGTCTCTTTTGATATGGGCACAACGAACAAATTTCTTCATTATAACCATTACCAAATCATTTTTTTAATATGCAACCACTTAGTAATCAATGATAGAATACAATGATAAAGGAGTGATTAGTGCCTGTAACTATCAGTTTGAGCGCTATGTTGAATCGAGGTTCATCTGGAGCTGGCATATTAGTCTATAAAAAACTGGAGCTTGTAAATCAATAGAAATATACAATAATCATTAATTTCAAAGTTAATTTTTTTAAAAGCTTTCAAATATTTATTTGGAAGCAGATATTTAGCTTCATATTGTAGACTGCATAACCAACTACTTATATTTATGATCAAGGATGTGGAGGAATCAGCTGTGGAGGAATCCTAATCAGTTAATGTATCACTCTATTTAACATCATTCTTACATTTATGATGACACTAAACTGGAACATAATCTAGTCATTTTCTTAAATTTTCATAACTACATATTGTGAATGGTGTTAAAATTTGAACTCATTGAAAAATTAATTAATATGAAATGCCTTGGAGCTGTAACATACTACTAACATTGTAGAAAAAAATAACGACGATCTTACAAAAGTTCCTTTGTCATTATTAATTACCTACATCACGCTATCCAAATGACATTTTATTGATAATCTAGAATAATATTCTGACATGAAAAAAGTGATTGAATAATAGATAGGATGTCTTATTTATCTTGGAGATCAATATTGGATAGTGAGAACACTTCAAAGTAAGACTATTCATGTTCTTTTGTGTAGTGTACACGATTTAATGACTCATGATTATTCAGGGGAAATAACAATTGGATTGATAACTACTAAGGGATCAATGAAAATATCTTAGTACCTTAAGATTTTATTCACAAAACGAAATGGTTAGTTTTAACATCACTGATTGTGGTTTGAGGAGATTAAAGTCAAAGTATCAGGTGGTTCACTACTTTCTCTAAGATTATTGACATGTTTGTTGTAGAATAACGACTTGCACAAAATCGATGTTCAGGTAGTCAGTCATATCAACTAACTCTAACCAAGTAAAATTATAACTAAACCAATAAATGCTAACTTTTTATGTCGTAACTTTTCAATACTCATATCATTTGTCATCGGATCTGTTTGTGTTTAATTTTAATTATTAATAAAATCTTTTGCCAGATCTTCTGCAATGTCTTCACTTCTATTACTATTTGCACTATTCGAGGGTATGTGTGGTTTTGTTTTACCGATTTGCTCTGCTTTTCGTGTGACCAGTATATCACAAAAACGGTATTACTATGAAGTAAGTTAATTTATAAACAATAGATTGATAGTATTTTTCCATTTATTGAATAAATTGAATTCATGTCATAATTTGTTTAAAGTAAAAAGAAAATACTCAATTTTTCTTTCAAAGTTTGCTTACCTATTCACTAAATATTTCTCATCTAAAAATGTTTATTAGTAGTAATATAACTGCCCCCAAACGCCCTGTTACGGCCGAGTGAGGAGAGTCCACTCTCCGTCTCCAAATGCTCTTACATGGCCACGCGTATATAACCCCTACCAGGGAAGTCCTACCCACTGCCTTCTCGTGGCATTACTGTTGTTTATGAAATTTAGAGAACGAAAAGCGAATGTCTGGAGCATTAATCGTGTTAGTGGACATGGAAAGTTCACCTAGGGGAGTTGGAAATCCCTGATTTCAAACCACTGGTGCACATGGTCTCCAGTATCCTGAAGGAACAAATGATGAATGAATCAATCGTTGGTCACCGGCTGCCACGGTACTGCATTTTCTTACGATGCTCCACTGCCTTATAGATCAGATCTCTAGGTCAAAGGCTCGGGGTGTAGCTCCCTAAGAAAACCATCTGTTTTGATCTGGGCACCCGGGTAGTATCCAACCCCTTACACAAATCAAAATGAGATTTGTGTGGCGCATATATATCTGGATCCCCTTTGTACCAATATTTATGTGTTCAAATAAATAAATAAATAATGGGAATGAAGTATAGTATTTAGTAATGATGAGAAAATGTATCATTTAACATCAATGATTTCAGAATAAATAGATGTAGAAATAATAATCATTAAAAATTTAATGATAAGAAATTTGTGATTAGTCATTTACAGTATCTAGTTTTCTCTTCTATACCATTTGAATATGTTAATAACGGGAACTTTCTAGATTTTATTCATAATAGGATGACCTTAGTTAGAGTGTCATTAAAAGTCTAGGAGCACAGGATAGCTGTTTGGTCCAATTACAGGAATTATCAATATCTTTTAACTATCCTATTAGATATCATACTTTCATGTTTCATGATGGATTCTTTACCATTAGAACGACTGAATCGGGATCCAAAGGTGAATTTCTTAACTCAATCAGTTTATGATTAAATTTAACTGGAATTTCTAATCAATGACTTTATTACAAACAAAAGAATAAGATGATTACATAATAGTTCAGGGTTATATAACTCTTTTCTTAATTACAAATTTATTAAAAATGATTATTCACTCATTTCATATTATAAAGTTTATAATGATTACTGTTTTGGTAAGTTTATTTTTGAATCTCTCATCCAACAAATAATCAACACTTTTAATTTATTACGATTATTTCAGTAGTCTACCTCATTATTATCACTAATTCATAAGTTACTTTGATTGGTGTTTAATAGTTTCTATATAAGTGTATGAATATCATTGGATATTACAGTGAAGCTTGATGAAAATGGAATTTAAAAAAAGCAATCCCTATCTGAAAAAATCGTTTTCAACCCCCCCCCCAAAGGAATTCTTAAAAACATAACACAAAAAATCAGTGACAACTTCGACATTTCACTTACGTGTTCTAGATGTTTGGTTTAAAATAGGAATTATTATCGAACTGTCGATAGGATCATTTAAGTATAATCACCAAAATACTGTTTATGAAAAATGAACGACCTACAATAGAGGAATTATCAGAAGTGATACTATCTTCATTAAATTCATTACCTTTTAAATACCCATGATGAAGAATTATGAACTTTGTTCATACTATATGGCATCCTTAACCTAATGGAAAATTCTTTCCATGATATAATCACATTCAATATGATTATGTATACATTTGTTTCACTTGTGCTTTAGTGTAAAAGAAACTATATTATTAGTTCTAAAGAACAGATTGCACAAGGATTGATCAATATTCGGATGTATTAACTTACTACTTAGGAAATGTAAATTGTTTTTTTACTGTCATTATTCAATCATAGTACAAATTTAAGATTCCCAGTTACATTTCGTTTTTAAGTGAAGTGGTGATTCTAAGAAAATTATTCTTATTTAGAGGTATTATTAAATCTTTAGTTCAGGAAAAAAAAAACTTGTCCCAGCAACCATTGTGATGTGTGGGCGAGAAGGATAATGATTAGTTGTTTTGCTGAGTCAGACATGTAGATAGAGTGACAGGTGTTACATGAGTTATATATTCCCATATTATGGATTGACTGTTATTGTTGTTGGATTGTGTCAGATTTTGATGTGAAAATATATTGACGTTCTGGTCAGGTTAATCTCGTGTTCTTCATCTGAGTTGTGTTGAAGTCCTGTAGAATAGACACTGGGTAGGAATCTAGTGTAGATATTCGCCTAAGGTAAATTAACGTCCCACATACGTGTAAAAAGTGAAAGGACTGTTATAACAAGAAACCCTATCGTTATAACAAGTATCCTGCCGTTTATAACGCATTGTAAAGCAAATAAATAATATATATTTGTAATATCCCAATAAGTAGAAAAATTAGATTTTCTGACGTTTCGTGACTCAGTGTAAGCCACTTCTTCAGAGAATAAATAACCAAATTAACATTAATCCAAGTTTAAATAGTACAACGAAAAACTCGAATAATAGGCGATCAATCAAAAACAGGTCTAAATACCCAATGCTCAATTTATCCAAAATTATCAAATCAAAACATGGTAATGATACCTGCATTGAAAGGCAGTTTGTTGTCAAGTATTTTAACTATCAATATTAAACATTTTTATAAGATGAAATCATGAGTCAATTGAAGCTAGACCACCAGAGAAAACCTGAAAGAACTGGACGGCCATTTCGTCCTATTATGTGACTCCTTAGCAATGCGCATCCATGATCACGCACTCGCGAGATTCGAACACAGGACCTACCAGTCTCGAGCCGAAGCCCTTAACCGATAGACCACTGAGTCTAACTTCAACCAATCCACGATTTTGAGCGACCGTCCACCAATTGTCTTCAGTGAATTGTTATCTCACAACAGACGTGGTTGAACTCCACCGGTCACTGCTTCCCACTAGATCTCCAGGACATGTATCTTGAAGTCAGTCACTAGTGAGCATATGATTATAATCAGAAGGGGTTTTGGGGAAATTTCAGTATTTTCATAGTTGAAATCATGAGTCAATTGAAGCTAGACCATCATGGAAAACCTGGAAACACTAGACGACCGTTTCGTCCTATTATGGGACTCCTTAGCAATGCTCTACAATTGACTCATGATTTCAACTATGAGAATACTGAAATCTCCACAAAACCCCTTCTGATTAATATCACATATATATAATAGATCAGCAGTGATAATGGTTTGTTTTTAAAACATCCTTCTATGTGCATTGAATATTGTCACTAGTAAAAATTATTAAAATTAACACATTTTTAATTTACGTCACATATCTCTGTTTATATAAATATTATATGAATCTGAATGACTTCAATTTCATTTATATAAACATAGAAACAAATTGTCTGTTATAGATATACACAATTACATTGATCTTACTGATTAAATGACATATCAATATTGATGAAACTAATATGAGGAGACCTGAAATTATGTTTATGTTAATGAATTTTATTATTTTAATAGATTTAATATATAATTGAATTGAAAGGAACTAACTGGTAACTAATCAGTAAATTGATAAATTAATTGAAATCAAACACAGAATAATAAATAAATAACTGTAGATCAGCTAAGACACAGTAGACTCTGAACTTAGGGATCATCAGGCTGGATTCCGTAAGGATCGGTCGTGCACAGACCAGATTGCGACACTATTGATCATCGTTGAACAATCAGTTGAGTGGAACTCATCACTATACGTCACCTTCATCTACTATGAGAAGGCATTTTACAGCGTGGATAGGAGAACACTATGGAAACTTCTTCGACACTATGGAGTTCCTCAGAAGATCGTCAACATTATCCAAAACTCATACGATGGACTACAGTGCAAAGTGGTGCATAGAGGACAGCTGACAGGTGCATTTCCAGTAAGGACCGGAGTCAGACAAGGCTGTCTACTCTCCCCATTCCTCTTCCTTCTAGTGATTGACTGGATTATGAAGAATTCGACATCTGAGGGGAAATGCGGAATACAATGGACTTCTCAGAATCAATTAGATGATTTGGACTTCGCAGATGACCTAGCCCTCCTCTCTCATACACACGAACAAATGCAGATGAAGACAGCAAATGTAGCAGCAGCCTCCGCATCGATAGGCCTCCATATTCACAAAGGAAAAAGCAAAATTCTCAAATGCAACACGGAAAACATCAACTCAATCACACTTGATGGCGAAACTCTGGAAAAGGTGAAAACATTCAAGTACCTGGGGAGCATCGTTGATAAACAAGGAGGATCGGATGCAGATGTAAAGGCGAGGATTGGCAAAGCAAGGGCAGCATTTCAACAATTGAAGAACATGTGGAACTCAAAACAACTCTCAACCAATTTCAAGGTCAGAATTTTTAATACGAACGTCAAGACAGTCAGTTATACTGTATGGAGCTGAAACGTGGAGAACTACGGCCATCATCAGGAAGGTACAAGGATTTATAAACAATTGTTTACGCAAAATACTCACCATTCATTGACTGGATACTATCAGCAACAGCGTTTTATGGGAGAGGACAAACCAGCTTCCAGCTGAAGAGGAAATTAGGAAAAGACGTTGGAAGTGGATCGGACATACATTAAGGAAATCACCAATGTGCATCACGACTCAATCTCTAAATTGGAGTCCGGAAGGGAAGCGGAAAAGAGGAAGGCCAAGGAACACACTACTCCGGGAAATAGAAGCCGATATGAAAAGGCAGAATGGTAACTGGAAAGAACTGGAAAGGAAGGCTGAGGACAGAGTTGGATGGAGAATGCTGGTGAGCGGCCTATGCTCCTCAACGAGGGGTAACAGGCGTAAATAAGTAAGTAAGATCAGCTAAAGTTCATACTTCGTCGCATTCCATTTTTAATCGTTGAATTTATGTGTCAATTTAAGCTAAACCACTATGGAAAACCTAGAAGCATTGGATGGTTGTTTCGTTCTAGTATGAGATTTCTCAGTGGTGCGCATTCGTGATCCCGCACGCAAGACTTGAATACATGACCTTCGATCTTGCACTCGAACGCTTAAGCTCTAGACCGCTGATTCGGGATCCAACTGTGTTTATGTCTAACCAGATTATATCGACTCATGAATTCAACTGTTCAAAGTATTACAATCCACATAAATTCCCATACTGATAATAATCCTGTGCTCACTATCGTCTGGCTTGAAGATGGATGTCATAGAGTTCTAGTTAAAAATCGTGAACAGTTGAGTTCAATCCGTGTCGGGTGTGAGGCAGTTATCCACCTAAGACAATGGATGAAAGGTTACGGAAGATTACGAATCGATTGAAGTTAGTCATTCAAACCGTTGGAACTCGAGTCATTGGTTCAGTGCTTAAGGGTTAGCGTGCGAGACCGAAGGTCTTGGGTTTGAATCACATATGCGAAATCATGGATGCGCATTGCTGAGGAATCCTATACTGGAACGAAACATTTGTCCAATACTTCCAGATTTTCAATGGTGGTCTAGATTCATGAATTCAACTGTTAAATGTATTACAATCAAAACAAATCCCCTTACTGACATTTTCGAGTAGTTTAAAATAACTAGAGGTAAATTTAGAAATTCCTTTTGGTTTTTAAATAATCGAAGCACCGGTTATTACTTATTCAATTCCATCCTAACTCTCTTAAATTCGAATTTAACACTAAGTATTCGTAAAGGCAAACCGGTTACCAATGTCGAGGTGTGAATTCAATTTATTTATTTATAACCAAATAATAGTGCTGAAGTTATTGTAATCACAGATTTCCGACGAATTCTCTGCAAAAACTAATATTCATAAAGATGTGTTAGACTATATTTTAAAGTCTGTTTTATTCATATGAGCTGGATACTGATGTAGATTACTTGTACTCTACAATTACATACATTTTGAAATGAATTTTATTTCAGTTTATTTTGTATAATTGAGTCACCATAATCAGAGAAATTATTTTGTCAGGGGATAGTCGTTCATTCAAATAATATAGAATATGGTTTCGTGAATAATAGTTATCCTCTACAGTTTTGTATTACTATAAGCGATCAATCGTATATCCATTTCTTTTTATATAACAAAATTTTAAAGCTTGACAAAACAAGTGTGTTAAAACTGCGAACTAAATCTGAAAAGAGAAAAAGATATGCGTAGTAAATGATAAGCAGGTGAAGCATTGGCGCTAGATAGATTTAATTTCAACCTCTGAAAACACGATAACTATTTATAACCAAATATAGTCATTCAGATGCAGATTCTACTAGGATTCTATGAGTTGTCAACAAATAACATACGTGAATGAAATAATTGGAATTCAAATAGATTTTACATTGTATTAAGTTAAGGGAACACAATGACAATCATGTCGGATCCGTTCTTAACATCACTTACTTTTTAACTGGAATATATTTTCTACAAGGGCTGTTTTTAAAGATCAGTTGTATTTCTTCGTAACATTTTAACTCTCTTTAATTATTTGTGTGGTCGTGACTTAATTGTCAGTCACCTTTTTATTTTGTCCATTGAATGTTTCATTAATTTTCCAAACATCAAAGTCTCCAAACTTTAGTTAGTGGCATCGGATTTGGGCTCCCGTTTTTGATAGGATTTATATATCTATATGTGCTATCCCATTTGAACTTCATATGTGACGGCGATTGTCCTATTTATGAAGTTGATACTCCATTCGTTATGAACTCCTCAGTAACCTCTGAACGATTTCTTCTGTTCTTCATCACATTTATACTTTTTAGGCTGCTCTTTTCAGTGTGTTGGTCAAACGTTTGACCTGATTATTCGATAATAGACGTAAAAAGAAAATTTTTAGCTAATTAGTTAATTTCGTGATGTACTTCTATTCTTAAAGTACCGTCTTTGAGTTTACAGTCGCTAGATATTCTGAAATATTAATTATAAATTACATAATTGACTTTAAGAACTTACTACACAGATGATTACAGGTTTCTTGCAGGAACGCAATTAGTTGACCTGTTCGGAGACGATAATAATAAACGACGGAGGCGTTGTATCGTAATTCGACAAAGTTTATAATTTTCACCTTTGTATTCTTGATTTTCTATTGAGAAAAATCTTATTAGTAGTAAAATGTGGAAGTATTGAATATTGTTAAAGAGATTGACACTAGAAACAAAGATCTGTTCAGTATATCATAGTTTTCAGTGATCATTAATTTGTGATTAAAAACAAATAGATGAAATTAAATATTAGTCTTTCTGATTGATAGTTATCGATAAACGGGATAATAAGGTAGTAGATTTTGATTCAAGATATTAAAGACAACACAGTCCATTCCTTCTATTGACTTAAAATGAATTTAGCTAATAATGATAATCTCATCAATTTTGTAACAAAACAATTGTGTTTATAATAATGATGAAATATCAAGGAAGAAAGAGGAGAAACTTTTATAAGTACTTGTTTACTTAAGATAATATCTTAAACTTTGGAACATTCAATGTTATGATAGTATATTACGAAACTATTACTTACTTACTTACGCCTGTTACTCCCAATGAAGCATAGGCCACCGGCCACCATTTTCTAACTCACTCCGCCTGGGCATTACAATACTATAATAATCGCTAATCTTTGAATTTTAATCAATATTCTATCAAAATACAATTGAATGAATCTTAAACAAACTATGAGATATAGTAGCTAACTGTGTATTATCAAAATGGGAAAATTTTAATTTTTAGCTATTACCGTTTAAAATAACCTTCCTAAATGTTGCTCTTTTTTTGTTTTGTTTTATTCAACTACTTATCGACTACTGATTATTTACATGATTGAATAAAACAAAGAATTTTCTAATATTTCAATATTGTTTATCCATTTTGGCATTGGCTTATCTACAATCATTAATATTCTATTATGATCGTAAAGAGAATTTACGTCATAAACAAGAAATTCTTTTTATGAATCAAATGAATGAAGCCAGGCGAATATGGCAAGATCATCAGAGTTCACCGGAAGAAACAGACAATCATCTTATGAATAATCATGATGATATTGATAATAATAATAATAATATAAATAATTATGGAGAAAATCAATGGAATTTACAATTACAAAAACGTGAAGATAAATTACGTTTGGTCACATTTATTCATGATGCACATGAATTATCTACTGATGTTTATAGTGATTCAACACCAGTCCATGTGGATTCCACAGATATGAAGTGTAAGTCAATTTTTAATTATTATGTAAATGAAAATTTACTTTATTAACAACCTTCAAAGACTTTTGAAACAATCTTGGGGGTGTAGACTCAAGTAAATGATAAAAATGAATAATTTAACCTGTAAAAACATGCGAAATGGTTAAGATTAAGCGTTAGTGGCAGATGTCAGGAGTGATCATTGAGAGTACAGAAGAACAAAATTCTACTGTGATATAGATGAATAAATATACAATTAAGTCATTGATTTTAAATACCTTTAAACCTTTAGATTGCGTTCGGAAAGTTAAGAATAATAGTCCATTTAATTTAATTGTCTCATCTAAGCATTATTTTATCTAATTGATGGTAGGTTTTACTTAGCTTTAAATAACATGCGGGTTGTTAGCTCTCCTCTTTGAAATTTCGTGCAAAAATCTTATGGTCGCTATCTTAAATCTAGATGGCTCGTCAGTAAACCATACTTTTACCATTATCAATGTTTGCATACAAGTTTACGTGAATATGATAAGATCATATTGTTGCAGTGGCTATTCTGTGTATAGTGGGGGACATAATGTTTAGAAGCTGGATATTAAATATATCCATGCCTAATTTTGGCTCTCCGACAGATGTCAGCCAGCGATTATATTATTGATTGCTAGTTTTTGTACACCCACATATGTCATTACAGGATTTCGTAACTAAATAGAAATAGCCTGGATAAATTATAGAACATCGAAGCCTTTATTTGATACTGGGTTTAATTGTGGGTCTACAATTAAACATATAGCAGTTAGGGCGGAAAACACAGAGGTTACCTAAAATGTGGTAAGATTAATGTAAAAGCAATCTGAGGTTTGTGATTATAACACTAAAATGACTCGTTTCTTTTTGAAAAATTCGACAAACAAAAATCTAGTCTTGAAGAATAAATAAGGATTGGCCAACGACCAGTTAAAACAGTGCAATTAAAGTGAGCACTAAATCTAATTCGAGTTAACTTTATACTAAACTCACAAGGTATCAATTGATTGGATACCATAGTTATTAAGACACAATAATTAGTGCTTGGAACAACTGGTCGTAACTGAAGCCCCAATTAAGATTATAAATATCAGAGACGTTGTTAATTTTGCAAGAAGATAAATAGACAAAATTAAAGTCGTCTAGAAAGTTATCATCATGCGTTGATATTTATACAAGATAAATAAAGTCAATTGCTGTATTGGGGAAACAATGAGTTAACAGAAAACTTTATGTGAATCAAACAAACTCTCAAGGGGTTTTTTTGTGGAGATTTAGTAATTTTATTGTTAAGATAAAGAGTCAATTGAAGCTAGTGCTTTCAGGTTTTCCACGGTGGTCTAGCTTCAATTGACTCATGATCTTAACTACAAACAAACTCTGTTGAATGCTCAGGTTAATACAGATATTAGCATCAATATAATTACATTTATGGCCTATGATTATCTCTTTGCTGAGCTTCGTGACATAATTTACATAATCATTGGAAACTATACCAGATTTCGGAATCATGACTACAGAACGCATGTGACTCTGAAAAATTAGGTGATCCTGATCCTTGAAGGGAAAAAATTAATGAAATTTTAAAAATAAAGTTTTATTTCAGTTTTACCTTACACCTATGCAAGTCAATTTATATAGGTGTGGTTGCTAATGTCATTCAAATTAAAAGAAATCAAAATACTTTAGCATTTGATACCTGATGTATTAGAGTGTCACAAAAACTACAAAGCCTAAATACAGGGATCGTAATCAATTATTGTTCAATATGTTATGTAATTGTTAACTCTGTTAAAAACTTTAAAAATGTTCACAAGTTCCTTTATTTAGAAACGCCATCGATCTTAACAATTAGTCAATATTTCTCATTTTACTGAGTAAATAATAAATAACGTGGTCATATTAAATAATTATTGAATTAACTTACAATAACATATTGATAATAATATATATGAAAACTAATACAAAACCCATCTTCATCCATTCAAGAATTTGTCATTAAATCAATAATTTGAAGATGTCGTCTTTGTGCTAGTTTATTCGCCAATGATTTAGTAATTACTTAATTAATTAGACGCCTTAGATTAGTGTTTTCTAGAGCTTAATGGAAGAGTTTCATTGGTTATTCTGTAGACTTTTATCAGCTATATACATTAAACAGGAAATATTATAATAATATAGGATTTAAATCAAAGATTAGACATCGAATTCGAACTATAGAATCAGAATACTCTTCAGTAAGTTTATTTGGTTGCCGATGTCACAGACAAATAAATAGTTTAATATTATAACTCATCAACTTATCACTGGTGAAACGTAATCCGATTACTTAGTAAATTAACAGAATATTTAGTAAACTTTAAAGTCCAGTATTTCAGCTGAACTAGCCATGTAAGAAAATGATTGTTCAAAGACTATCTACTACCCTAAAAAGCTGATTGACTTTACACAGTATGCTTGTCCAGAGATGAATTGTGGCTATCAGTGAAATCCAAGACGAGTGTTTCGTCCTATTTTGAACTCATCAGCTGTATGTACCTACATCTCAGACTTGACGTTCATCTCTGGACTCGAACCCAGTACCGTTCGCTTCAAGCACCATTGCGCCATCCACTTAGCTACTTAGTCCCACTGGCTACCATCTATCTTTGATTATAATGCTTGTGAATTAAGGCGATAGGCATATATGCCAATAAGTGACTGATCAATCGCAGTCCTAAACACCAATGGGAAGATTCAAGTAAATAATACCTAGTGAAGTATACTTGTCTAGTTGATATTAAACCACTTAGTTGTTTCATTAATTTTATTATTCAGATTTGGAAGATCAAACATGTTTGATTGATCAACATGATGATAATATTAGTTCAAATGAAGAGGAAGAAAATCCATCTGGAGAAAACGATAAATTATCAAACAATAAGGTAAAATGTTGTAAGATGAGGAGATAAAATAAACGAAATGAATGAATAAAGTTCTGTACTAGTTAATTGTTAAATGAAATTGTTATCTTATGTTTTACAGGTTAATCAAAAGTAAGAAATACTCCGTTTTTCATTGTTGAAATCATTGGTCAATTGAAGCAAGACCACCGTGGAAAACCTGGAAGCACTGGACGGCCGTTTCGTCCTATTATAGGACTCCTCATCAATGCGCATCCACGATCCCGCACTAGTGTTTCCAGGTTTTCCATGGTGGTCTAGCTTCAATCGACTCATGATTTCAATTATGAAAATACTGAAATCTACACAAAACCCCTTCTGATCAATACTCTGTTTAATGAAGTGTGTTTTAGCTTCCATCTGATTAAAACTTTTAATTTAGTTTCTTGTATGATTTTCTAATTTAAAAAAGCAACAATTTCCGTTTCGTGACCGAAAGGAGTTGATAGGAAGACAATTGATATTTATCAGTAACATTATATACGTGAATTCTTAAGAGAACCGATACTGGTGATAGGCCTGGAGTAAAAATCTTCTAGTCAGAGCCATTATCGAAAAACACATTAGTTTAGGATTTGTTATCAACAACTGCCTTCTACTATTTATCAGCGTACACGTGTGGTGTTTGCTACTCATGTCGACGGATATAAGTAATATGTAGCACCAACCGGAAATGGAATGCCTGGCAGCAGAAGGTCGAGAAGATCGAAGGAAAGTGAACGAGAACAGAAAGTGATTCGTATGGAAATGAAGGAAAAACAACTTCTGAAACAATTGATGAACATTTTGCAAATAAAGTATTTGACGTATGGTATTCGCATTTTAGCGAATTCCTCTGTAATTTTATATTCGGACACATTTGGTTGTCTCCACCCCTGTTTCTATTTATTGTACCAGTTAAAGGTATGTAATTAATTTAATATTGTCTCTTTTAGTCTCTCACGTGCATTCACTATATTTCGTTTTACCATTTTTTTAGTCAAATCAAAATGAACAAAAATCTTCGACTTTGAATGTTACATTTGCTAACCCTGTCACACCTATGACTAAACAGAATGACAATGTTGATAACAATGGGAATATTCATAATAATATTAATGATATTAAAAGCCATAATAATATTGAAGGAGAAGAAGGGGAAGGGAAGAAAATTATTATTGATCATAGTAATCATAATAATAATGAAATTAAAACAAATAATAGTAATCGACGGAATGAAATGAAACTACAACTTAGTGGAATAAACATTTGCAATGATATTAATAATTCCAGTAACCACGATCGCAATCATACCATTGATCATCACAATAATCATAGTAATACTAATAATAATGATAATAATAATAATAGTAACAACAGTAACAATACTGATAAGAGTGATTTACAGATTATGAAAGCAGATGATGTTTACTTTACGTTCAACAACGTTAAACCATGCAACAGTTTCAATCATCATGTCTCTAGAATAAAGGCTAGTAGTGATCTTATTCAAAACGGATATAACTCGACAAGAAGGCCAAATAACAAAAATAAATGTTTGGCTATAAAAACAAAAAATGTGAACACATCTAAATCAAAGAAAAAGCGAATGACATCATGTTGCGGTGAACGATCAGGTAGTCAAACACAATCTGGGTCATTTTATCCGCTGGCAATTCTTTTTGGCGATAAACCAAGAGTATCTAGACGTGAATGCTATTTTTCACGAGATACAGAAGGCGTTAATTTGTATTTGCGTTTAGGAGCTGTGGGTAAGTAATTATACGAATAATAATTACGAAAACGTGCACAGTTGATTATCATTTATTGCCCGTGAAACTTTTCAATTTCTTTGTTAGAACTATTTTGAATAACACCATCTTCAGTTAGGTTTAAATGTACTGTAGTTTTCTGTAGTGTAAGGCGGTTGATGATAGTCAGAAGGAAACCATGTGTGTAAGTTTCGTGCTAATTGTCACTCGTCTTCGAAATGTATTGATAATCATACAGGAAATGATGACCCATTGTGCATTCAAACTTGAGTCTTTCAGCTTCGAAGTTTGACATGTTATTAATAAGCTATTCAGGCTCTTACTGACCTCCTGCGGGTTTGAGATATTTACACTGACTGATCTCTTACTACTGAACAATTTTTCAGTGCTGAACGAACCATATCTTCGATCAAAACGTAGTGTAGGTTATTCCGAGTCGCTTAGATTACTGACTATATTGTAACTTGAAAGATCTAATTCGTTCATCACTAGAGATTAAATAAACTTGACTCTGGCCACCACTTAATGACAAATAAATATAGGTATCCATTGCATTACATAAAATCAGTCACAAGTCAAAACGTTTGACTGTGACACTTTAATTTGGGTATAAATCCCATTGTGAAGCGTTGATTCACGTCACTGAGTAGTAACAAATAGTACAAAACTAAAACTTAGATTACACTGAAGTAACTGTAGGTATTTGATGTCAAAGAATAGTACAAACAGTGTCACGTCATTTAGATTAATAGCCATATTACAAATTGGTCAACACTAAGAACTAGACAAATATGATATTCATTAATACACTGTGACTGATTAATGTAGTATAGTATATTTGTCGCTCCTGATATGCTCTGTTTTCATTGAAGAACCTATGATTGTTCTATCCATTTGTATCAGAGTTTGTAGTATATGGAAAGTTGATAAATATGAGGCAGAAAAATAATATGTTATATCTAAAAATAAACTTACCGATTTAAAGGGAATCATGAGTGGAGAACGGTCACTAAAACGTATGGTGCAAAGGTATCATGCTGATACGTACCAGTCATGATGAGAAATAAGTTAAGAGTTTCTTACAAATTACCTCAATTTTGTATCTATTAAAATAATATTAAATAAGTCACAAGTGATGCCTAATTTATTTTTTTTATTCCATAAATTTATCACTTAAGGTTTCGGTTTCGGAGTAATGATATTTGATGGCTTTAAAATAGCAGAACCATGGGAAGAAGTAGCTAATTCTGTGGTTTCTTGTCATGGGCATTTATGGATTCCCTTACATTTACTTCATTTTGTCTACGTGTTTTGGCAAACATACTTCTTGTTTAAACATCATCGGGTAAGAACTATACAAAAATCAGTCAACTGATGGACTAAATTGTGATAACTTTGAATATAAGTCAGGTTTATATGGTAAAATTGAGTTAATATGGACATATTAATTTTTGGACTTAGATCGTGAATTAATCAATGTTAGAACACCGAGCAATGCATCGTGAAGACGGCGAAAGAGAACTCAAAGAACCTCAAACTAGCCAACAAACAGAGAATATGAAACAAATATTGTTGAACAATTAAAAAAGAAAATAAAAGAGGAAAAACGGTTGGGGAAAAAGTGGCTAGATGACCCCATAGAAGAAAACTGTAAAATATATTCCAAGATAAGGAAGGTAAAAGATGAATAAATAGGTCAAAAAATGGGATAGCTTGAAATGCTTTCAACAACATTATAATCACAATGTGTTTAGGGAACTAAAAATTATTCTGGATACTGTCAGAAATAGAACCTGTGAATGAGGTAGGGTAAAATAAGTAACGAATGAAGGGACATTAAGAAATTATTGTCAGAAACTATTTGAAAAGCTAAACTCTGATACACAAAACAACGATAAAACGGGTGAAAATAACACTCCCCTCAGGTCGGGAGTTCAGAAACAGAGCCTAAAGAGAACAATAAGTAGAGAAACTCCAGAAAATAACTACCGAAATGATAAGACGAAGAAGAAATATTTTAAAAGAGATACTTTTAAATAAAAGGAATGAATTCTGAGAAAACCCGGGTGCCATACCACAGCTCTGGGTTGATGCTGATATCATAAGTCTTTATAAAAACAAAGGTAATGGATAGAACCTAAATAACTACCGAAGTAAATAACAAACATAATTTTTGTTATATCCAAATGAGTAGAAAAAATTGTATTTCTGAAGTTTCGTGACAATGTAAGCCACTTTTTTTGAACTATTTAAACTTGTGTTAATTTAATTTCAGTTATTTAATAGTTAAATTCATGAGCTGAATAAAGGTAGACCACCATGGGAAACCTGGAAGCATTGGACGGCCGTTTCGTCCTAGTATGGGACTCCTCAGCAGTGCGCATCTACTATTCTGCACCAAAGGGACGCGAACTCAGGAATATACGTATCACATTGGTCCATAAATAGTCCTCAAAAGTTACCGTTCATAATTCTCTTCGGGATATAACATTTTTCTGTCACAAAAATTCTTGTTAAAATTCATTTTTCATTCGACCGCCTCATTTTTTGTTATCGTGGTGTTCGTTCCAAATATTTTTTTTTAAAATTTCAAATTGTTTATTCTCTGTCACTTTATTTCTTCATTTAGGTTGTATTCAATGTACAAAAATTTGTTTTGCGTTTCCTTTTATGTCATTTGGCTGTGGCTAATTTATGTCAATGGTTGAAAACAATTGTCGATGAAATAGGCAGTGAACCTGGACATGAAGAGGAGTTAATACCCGATTCAGCCATAGTTTTTCCATCGGAATATTTTTTAGATGCAAAAACACCGCTAAATAGTACAACTTTGCATAAATATACAAATGGAACAATGTCACCAACTTTTAATCTGACTAATTTGGCAAATATGGTTTTATTAAATAGAAAAAAGCATAATGCTAATTCAAAACCTCACAATGCAAATTATGATAATTCAACTGTTCATGCAGCTGAACAAGCAGTGTTAGGTATGTGTGTTTATACATAGTAATGTTTTTCGCACTGAAACTTAAACCTAGTGCCTATTACTTCATATGCCAATGAGATAACCACTAAGCTAGTGAATCATGAAACAGGTTTGATTAAATCCTGATTATAAATAACTTTATCAGCTGATTAAAAAAAGGTTAACCGTTAAACGATTCTATAATTGTCCAAACTTAGTAGAACAGTGGACACCGAGCTTACATTTAAAGTGATACGAACTTAAACGATAACATTGGAGTACAGGAATTTCCGATTAGTGTTTCCGAAATAAAAGGAAACAAGTATCTAGAATTCGATTGTAATCCAAAGTTTTGATAAGCGTTTGATCGAAGACATGTTGGCACGTTACGTATGTCAAAAGAGACTGAAAAAATCTTGCTTCGCAATTAAACAAAGTGAAAAATAAAACTCTTGAGAATAAATTATGCATATCTCAACATTTCGTACGAAAATCTTGAATGGAATTTCAAAACTTTTTCCTATCCAGCTGTAAATAGTTTTAACTTTGTGACCTTAGAGATTGGTCAGTTCAACCTGAAATAATCACTTGCAGTAATTGACTGAAAAATACTTGAGATGTGTAACAGTTGATTCATATGTCATTGAAATCATACGCAGATCCATGCTAGACCATCATTGAAACTTGTAAGTGCTGAATGGTTGTTTTATTCTAGTATAGGTCTCCTCAGTGGTGTATCTACGATGCCGCACACTGGAACCAAATCCAGAACCTTCGGACTCGCGCTCGAATGCTTAACCTGTAGACCAGTGAACCGGGATTTAACGGTTTTCGGAGTCTAACTTCAAATAATGCACGACCATTTTCTACGGTGGGTCAATGCCTCACGCTTGACATGGTTTAGCTTCACTGGCAACGATCTTGTATGCGTACTACTGAAGAGTTTCATACTAGGACTAAAAGAACGTTCAGGGACTTCTGGTTTTCAATGGTTGTCTAACTTAGATCAGTTCATGATTTCACTGAAATTCAACAATCTCCAAAACCCAATACTGATAATTCTCATGCGGTCGGATTGTGAAAATAATCTTTAGAATAATTATATTATTCTCTGTGTCATAACATTTACGGTCTGGTGAACTCAGTCGTAAGCCCTTTCCATTTAAATATTATGATTCATGTCATTCATCTCAGAAATATACATAACTGTAGAGATTGTTGTCTAGTTCCATACCTTTAAACCTGCTTTTGATGATAAAGTATATAAAAGAATCATCTGGTATGTCGAAGTTATAGTCGACGTTATAAAGAAATTAACGTCCACAGAAAAAAAACACTAGAATACAATCGATCAAAGTGATGTTATTTTTTATTAATGTTACTCAATGTATCAATCGAACAGACTGTATTATCATGGTCAATAGCGAACTTGTCAACAGTTACTGAGAAGACTGTTTTATAGGAGATTTTAAGCAACTTTTCCTAAACTGGTAAACTAGAGAATTTTAGTTGTGCTGCTACAATTAATCTATTACACGATAAAAACAGATTTCTCATTTTGAATGCTGCATAAATACAGATGCAGCAGGTGAAAATGGGGAGTCAAATAAACATTGCTGATCAAAAGTAGATCACCAATAGTGAGACACTTGATCTATGATACGGGAAAACGATTTGTTTGCATCTTACATATGGGTACTGTTGAATAAAATATCTATATCGTTATGTGATATCCATCTAATGTTTAATTATGTCTTTTCAATGTTTAGACTTTTCCTTCGCCATTTTCGTTTATATTGATTTTATATTCAGGTTGTGGAATAACAGTCAAATATTTGGCTCCATATTTGTTTCCATGTGCTATTGAATATAGCTTAATAGCTGGTGCAATATTTTATAAAATGTTTGAAAAAGTTGGACATGTACGCAAAGAATCGGAACGCTTGGAAAAATTACGTAAAGCTAATCCAAAAACTAGTCAATTCTCTGAATGTCATCGTTCACATAAAGGTTTATTTGTTGGCCTATTATTATTTATGGCAACATTAGTTGCAATGAGTCTATTTTTTATATTTATTGTGAAACGTGATCGACGGAATACAGCTATAACATTATATCAAGGAACTGAACTAGTTCTATTATCTGTTAGTACAGTGACATGTTTAATTAGTTTGTTTCGTTTACAAGCATTGAAATTAAGTGATCTGTCAGAAGAAGTAGCGTTTGATGACAATTTATTATTGATTGGTTTGGTTGGAATGTTATTCTATGATTTATTCCTATTAGTGCCCGCTTTAGAAGCCATACCAAATGGTGTAATTGCAGCAAAGTTATATGCGGCTAAGGCTATCATGGAAATGATTCAGTCTATGCTACAAGTAAGCGTTTATTGATTTTATATTCCTCAAATAAATTGTATTGATGGTCATAATATTAACGAATGCTTTTTGTGTTTTTGGATATAACCTACAGCTTGACTCAGTTATACTTTAGGTTAGGTCAGGAAGAAGGCAAACTATGTGACAATCTATTGATATTGAACACTCATATTAAAGGCTTATGTGTATTTATAGTGTATAAATAAGTGATGATTTAGTAAATGACAGAGTTACTTCACTAAAGTTCAACCAAATTGGCATTTAATTAACCGTACAATCTTGGTACATTATATAGTTTGGTAAACCAAACATTTATCTGCTAACTTATCTTAAAATGTGAACTACACATGTTGTACAACATCAGTGTCCGAATCCAACTATAAGAATCACATGAGCTAGAACAACTGTTATTCTGTCGCCAAAGTTGGTTGTGAAATGTAAAAAAACTGCATTAAGGCATACTCAGTATAATATTAGTATTTACTAACTGGCATTAAGGAAACAATTAAAATTATATTTTTCCTAAAATAAATTATGAATGATAGCTAAATTGAACATAATTTACTTTAGAGTCAGCCAGTATTGATACACATATTTCAAGACGTTGACACTGATTATCATTTAGATGATAAGTGACATTCTGGTAGGTACTCTCAAACAATGAATAACGAATCTATTCTTCAGTCATAGATTATAAGTGGTATTATAGAGATTAGAAAACCGGTGTAATATTTGCTCGTCTTGACGTACATTGTATTCAAAAAATGAACCGTTTTTGGGGATATGTCACTTTGTCATTTGTGTAAATTATACTGTCGAACAAGTCATTTTATAAGTGATGTACTAAACAACAAACACTCGGAGACTACAGATACTCAAACGGATTAGAATACTCATAAAAGTGTTATCACATATAACCGCTTCACTGATAAAAACTTTTATACAGCTATTTTTAACGTTACAAACGATTCACAAAAAGTGATTCCTGTTCACGTCGCGTTTTCAAGCTTGAAATAACTGTTTTTAAACCCTGAAAAAATTCCAAGATCATATGAAGAAGCTGTAATGATAAGTTTTGAGCTAGAGATTCTTGCGAAAAGTAATTCTCAGTGAGACCTCTGTTGAGGTACCGCTGAAAAATGTACAGTTATTTTTATTCAGTGTAAACCATCAGTCCTTCATGTGGTCAGAGCGATGATCTTCGGTTTTTGCGGTGAATACTTTATCATTAGACTAATAAGCTAGCAACTAATACCACAAACAAATCATAGTACTCTTTATCGTTACGAAACTTCTTGTCAAAGCATTAAATCAGTAAGCTTCCTTGATGAATTTGGATAATGCCGGTAAATTATATCTACGCGAACTATGTTAACATCATATGTTCAACATGCTGTTTGTTAAAATGTTTATACAACAAGATGGAACACACAGGCAACCACGAAGCAACTACATTTGTATGTAGTTAACTGAAAATGAGAGTGATGAACTTCGAAATCAAATATGAAAGGAAAAAAGACAAATAAACAGCTCTTCCTCGTCAAATATCCTCATCAGTCTAAGATATAGTGGTTTGACCAGAAGCTATGTTAATAAATGGTTTATCTTGTCAACCAACAACCATAATTCCAGTGTATTCCAACATATAAACGATATTTATTAAAATACTTTATTTCAAGATGAAGTTTCTCAGAGATAACTTTGGAACAAAGCCAAATTTCCTAACCTAACAATGACTACCGCAAGTCGTTGGTTTATAAAATACTGTTTTATCCCAATGAAACATTGTAATGAATTAATCTTTTTTCATTCAACTTTAGGTATTTTTCATTTTGGAAGCATCACGAAGATGCGCTGGAACATTGGAACATGTACAAAAAAAACCAGGACGTACAATGATTACATTTTTATTAGTATTAAATTTAGCCATGTGGTTTGTTAATACATTCGAAGTGAAACATGCTGATAATCATAGTATACATATAAATTATTATTCATCTATGGCATGGAAAATTATCACACATATTGCATTACCTTTAATTGTATTTTTTCGTTTTCATTCTACAGTTTGTTTATCTGATATTTGGGCAAATGCTTATCGTTTTAGAACCGAATAAATGAGATTGTTTAATGTCTCCTTCGTTTTGAATAGTTACTTGGATTTCCTTCCATCAATCAGTTTTTTTCTTTTCAATGTGATACAATGTTGAGTAGAGCACTTACTTTTAAATTGATTAGGATATTACTGAATTTTTTGTTGATAAGAAATGAGATGAAGTGTAGTCTTTTGTAAAAAAAAAATAATATTCTTTATGTTAAACAGATGTATTGATATCCGTGAAAATGATGTTCCTTTTCTTTGCAATACCGTGTTCTCAATTATTTTCTTTATTATTCCATATAATTTGGGATATATCTATATATCTGAGTGTCACTGAAAGACACATCCACGATGATACTGTGTATATTAAATCTTTTATTATATATGTATATGTGTGTGTGTGAAATATATTTTGTAAATTTTTTAATGATATTATTTTCAGTTTATTTATTAGTTACTGAGACTAATTCACTTTAAAGTACTTGACATTCAAGGATATATAGCACATTTTTTGAATAGTTCAATCATTCAATCAATTTTTAATAATGATATGGATCATGAAAGACATATGGCAATCATGTAGAATTAAATTATTCAAAGGATCCCATTAGTTTTTTTAAAAAATTTGTTATGAAGTCTTAAAAGTACAATTCAATACACTATATGATATTAATAAGTGTAAATGATTTAAAGATAATATTTCTGAAATGAATTTGATTAGTAATATAAAAAGGAAAGCAAAAAATACCACACTCATAATTAGAACAAAATACTCTTGTCAAAAATCTCTTGGTTTTCAATCATAATTCAGTTGATAGTATGGTGTGAATTACTTATATCCACATAAGTAGTATATAACGACGGTCGGGTATTGAATGTATATCAGTAGAAGATCGATAATCAAAGAACGGGAACAAAACGCAATTGGTATAAAAATGCATGATTAATAATAATCAGATACTATAGACTGATATCCGCAGAAGGAATGATAATGATTGAGATAATTGATTGGTAGTTTACAAATTAACAATTTACTGTATAGTTATCAGATTTTATTGAGATAGTGAGTAATTTTTGTGTCAAATCCATTCGATTGTTCCCACCTGTGTTCTTTTTACTACAATAGTAATCTATAATGTATAACTACACTTCGAAGTTATACAAGTTCTCCATCCAAAAAAACTGTTTACTTTTATTTTCTTAAACATAATAACATATGAATCATATTTTATAACTGAAAATGATGGCTCAATTGCTACAAATTAATTATATATTCATCTTGATATTCTCTTTTAATTAAAACAAAACTAGAACTTAAATAAATAATCATAAAAATACTTGATTGGAACATTAAAGGTAAGAATAAATAGTGAAGGAGATAAAAAGCATAAAATTATTTCTATATTACTCTGTTTATCTAAAAATAAGAGCAGGTAATAATGCTGGATAATTTATCACATTCATGGAACTATATAGATCCATAGTCGATGCATCAAATGAAATACAAGCAAGTACATTAATTAATCTGAATAGGTTCAATGATCTAAATGCAATAAAATGACTGAATTAGTTGTCGGTTTTTTTAAAATTTAAAATATTAGATTTATAAACAAACAATGAAAAAGAAAAGATGACTTCATAAACATTTTTAGTTGTCAGGTCTTATGACAAGAAAAAAAACTGATAATCACTGTGAAAGATCAACAGTATAATGTCTAAAGGAATAAAAATAAAACAAGTGTTTTATTTGACATTGCTTTATTCTTCATATATATATGTATCATATTATCATTAAGCATAATTATTTTTGATCATAGTTTGATTCAGTTTCATAACTTCTAGATGTTTGTGATTTGATTGGTGCATTGATATCATCAATGGATTGAGGATTAGTTGAAATTGTTGAAGATTGGGAGTAGTTATGTAGATCATGATGTAGTATATTGTTCTGTCTATTTAATAAAGTTTCATTCATTGTTGTGGAATGTGAAAATTGTGTTTGAATGGTCGATTGTGTTATAGGTAAGGATCTAATTGATTGCATTGTTGGCGGTAACAATGATTGTGGTTGAGGTGTTAATGTTTGGTGGGGAAGTGTTGGACCAAGCAGATTAGGATAATCATTTATTAATTGGTTTGTATCTGTAAAATTCCCAGTTAATCTACTTAAAGCTAAACGTTGATTAACACGATCGATGGCAGCTAAGTCTTCATCATCATCACTTGAACGGAAAAGCAACAATGAGGCGGCAGCTGCTGCTGCAGGCAAAGCTTGTGGATTTGAGAAATCGACTAAATCTTGCAGACGATAACTATTAATTCCAGCAGTACCAGTAGGTAACTGAGAAATTAATGTATTTTGATTCTGTTGCTGAATGACAGTTGGATTAAGTAAATTGCCATGAAAGAACGGCATTACCTGTTGTGGATAGGTTAAATGTTGTCCAATATTTTGATTCATTATCCTATGCCTCGGTCGAGACGAGTGATGAATCGATGGGTTGTTTGCATTAATTATATGAGTTTGTAGTGGAGCTAAAGCACAGTCTTTTTCATCATCTTCTTCCTCATCGATATCTGGATCCAACTCTGGATCTGGATCAACGTCAACAGAATTAACTTCCTCATCTTTCTCATGTGAAATACCACCGGTAGTAGTGCGATTCTGACCAATCTGTGATTTATTAATTATATCATTCAAACAACATTCACTATTACGTTCATCTTTATGATTTGAATTTGCTTTATTTGATGTGTAACATTGTGTTGATGGATGAAGTATATCTGAATGGATTAGATTATAAACTAATGATTGTGAATTAGTTGTGGCTCTGACTTTATTCATTTTATCGCGAGCAACATCAAATGCTTTGTGTGATAATTCAGTTAATTTAGGTAACCATTCTTGATAGATCTTTTATTAATAATGATAAAATAAAACCAGAAAATTTTGTTACCAATTTCACAGATTTAAACGTAAACATTGATTTTCAGTGTATTTACATCTATTTTAAAAGTAGGTTTTATTTGCTAAATCACACTGAACAAATAACAAAAATATAATATCTGAATTTCATAAAAAGAAGATCATAAATCGTTACTACTCATACGTTATTAGTAGCTTAAGACGTAATTAAACTTCTATCCAAGCAATATGTCGGATGAAAACAGTATATGTTCTACTGAGATGTAGATGAAATTGTATACTTTGTGGAACTCTCTATTCAGAATAATTTTCTATATAAGTATTATTTTATAAATTTAGTTACCGTAACAGTAGAACTAACTATTAATAGAGTTATTCAATTAGTTAATAGTAATGATAAATGTGTAGCTAGGGTTATTTAAAAAAAATTCAACCACTTACATGGAATCATTTATTTTAAAGACTCTTACTAGAAAGTGAACAAATATCTACCATTACGCCTGAGTAAACAGAAATAGAAACCACCATAGGTTGTGTTTTGATATAGTCAACTGAACCAATAAATATAAAATTTACTTCTAATGATACCAAGATTTTTATCGCTGAAAAATTCCCATCATATTAGAACACAATTATATGAACGAAGAATATTCGTTTCAATAATTTCTCATCAGGTTCTTGGCCAAGTTCAAGGCAGAGTACTTCATTTAAAACTATGATATGTGAATCAAGGAGTGTTTGTGATATAAAATAAAATCGAATCATTAATGTTGGGATGACTGATATGAAGTGTTAACTTGAATCAGATTATAAGTGAAATGAAATAGTGAGATAAATGATCAGAATAAATATAATTGACATGGGGTGAAGGAGAATAATGGGATTACAAATCAGAAATCACTTAATATATAGAATAATATGAATTAGGTCAGATCTAGTAGATAGGGGTGGATACTGAATAAATTTCCCTAAAAGGTTAACAAAGGTGTAATCAAAACGGTTAACAACTCCATTTTAGCCTATATGGTGTTAACAACAGTTTACTTAATTCCATCACATTAAGAATTCTGCAGACGGCTGTGGCGATTGCTATCCGGATCCAAAAGCCAGAGCTTTGCATCCAAAAGACTCCAGCCTCTTGTTTTCCCTGGCCAACTTGTTAATAATCAATTATATGATATGGTGACGTAATTTGATTAATCTTCATTTTTATATCTTAAACATAGTTTATCTACACATCTTATCGGTCATTATTATTATTATTATCACACTTGCTAACCTTTTAGAGAAATTTATTCAGTATCCACCCCTATCTACTAGATCTGACCTAATTCATATTATTCTATATATTAAGTGATTTCTGATTTGTAATCCCATTATTCTCCTTCACCCCATGTCAACTATATTTATTCTGATCATTTATCTCACTATTTCATTTCACTTATAATCTGATTCAAGTTAACACTTCATATCAGTCATCCCAACATTAATGATTCGATTTTATTTTATATCACAAACACTCCTTGATTCACATATAACTGTTTTAAATAAAGTACTCTGCCTTAAACTTGGCCATTTTTATATGGATTATTAATTTGGATTTATAATTGTAAAATCTGATGAGAAATTATTGAAAAGAATATTCTTTTTTCATATAATTGTGTTCTAATGATGCGTTCAACCATATGTTACGCTAGATTGTATAATATCAGAAGGGGTTTTTGTGGATTGTATAAGACTGAAGTTGAACGGATAATATGTATTCAGCATTCTCACAAATAATAATTTAAGATCAGAGAATTAAATACATAACAACTTACTTTTTTACGAGGACTTCTTAGAAAATCAGGGCTCAAACGTCGATCTGATGATCCGCCTGAATGTTGTAATATATGTAGATAGTTTGGTCGCTCAGGATGTAATCGTTCGAAAAGACGTTGTCCAATACCTGTATTATTCATATTGACGTTAGTTGGTGTTGTAACAATGGGAAAGGAAGAAAGGGATTTTATGCTCATCTCATCATGTAGTTGAGCTTCGGTACTTTCCAAATTTGGACTTAAACCCACATTTATAGTGGGTTGATGGAATCTAAAATAATGGCAATCAGAATTGAAAAAGGTCATACGAAAATAAGTAAACTGTCGAACCAGCACAAACATTTGATCAGAAAGAAATAAAACAAATGAAATTTCATCTTACATTATGGGATTAAGGAAAAGGCCTCAACCCAGATTTCATGCTAGTTGCATTTCCATGACAAAGCGTGTTTGTGATCATCAGTAAATATATACTACTTATTGGATTCAAAATCGCGTATATTTAATAAATATTTAGCGTATGAAAATGTCTTAGATTCACTAAGTGTTACCACTGATCATATGGTCAACCGGACAAGGCCTAGAGGCAGCACCAGTTAAACCAGACAGTGAAACTGATAGTTTGAAGTAGATACTGTTAGTAAATCGTTTCAAGTGAAATTTTAAAAGTCTACGCTAGGATTTAGCTTAGGATTGACAATATAGCTCAGATGTATTTACTAATAATGTCGTGTAAATATTGACTATATGATTAGTTCTTACCAGCTATTCATCCTTTAAGACTCATACTATTTCTTTCCAGGTTTTTACTTTACTATTTTCGTTCGTTTTTTCTGGATTGTGTCTATGTGTGATTATTTGAGCTGAAACAAGGTTGGATAAAATAGTTATTTTTTCTGTTCTACTGTTTATCAACTTGACCTTTGTACATACCCACCCATATATCTTGATGTGTTCGGTGAGTGAAAATTAACGTTACAGTTTCAAATGATCGATTTGATTTATTGGAATGAATGTTGAAGAATTAAGTAACCAACTGAGAATGTATCTATATACTGAGGTAACATCAACTACCATCTCGTGATGAAAACTGATGTAGTGAATAGATAAAGTTTATCAATATTGCTCATTGCAACTGTGTAACTAAGTATCCATTTCTGTACTCAGCATTAAGACGCAAGTTTTCCATATGAAGAGTACTATAGTTCAGATTGACGAAGAGTAAAGTAGACCACGATCTTGTAACTTATACAATTATTTCCATTCACAAATATGAACAAAACTAAGAACAATGACCATAGTACATAACAAATAAATTCATGTAGTTCATGGATTCTCTTCAGCTGCTTATAATTTTCTATCAGAAAAGTCTTGATTCAAGATGAGTTTGATACATAAATGTCGAATAATAACAAAAGAATAACAACTAACTGTCCATTTTAGAGAATGTAACATTATCATAAACATTATTTTAACCAATAATTATGTTAATATAAGACTATTTAATGTTTTCTTGTGTAACAAGTAGACTTCGTAGTATTGTAGTAAACGCGAACTTAGGTGGGGAATACCAATTTACTGTTTAACGTAAAATATGAAAACCATACCTTAAATACATCATTTGCACATCTTCCTTTAGTTTTCCATTACACGCTCCATGATTCTTTTGATTCTCTTGTTAGTACAATTAATCTCCATACCACTTTCTGTTTTCTTCAGTTTAATCTTTCAAATATTCTGCTGGAAGGCATTTCACTTCCCATTAGTGCTACACACTACTTATATATGTTAACATAAGTAGCACACGCCACAGTATAAATAACTAATATGGGTAATCAGAAGGATCTTTTGTAGGAGATAAATATGATTAACGAAAAAAATTAACAAACCAGACAATGAAAATTCGATTTCATATTAAAATGTATCTTTCATTAATGAGAATTGAATTTCAATTTTTAAAAAAAAAATCCGCAACGGTTAGTTACAAGAATTTTGTATAACTTACTCTGAACTAACATTAAATACATCGGAGCCTACACCGGAACAAAATTCATAGTTAAACTTAAAATCCTTTTTGTCCTCAACCATTTCACTAACAGAATGTCTATGCCTGCGAATGTTCTCCTTTGATATTTCACAGATATCTCTGTCAGGAGGAATTAAATAATTTAAGGTTATTGGATTATCAATGACAGATGATGCCCGACGATGTGTTTTATTATCAAAGTCACTACTAGGCCAATGTGTATAAGAAGAAGTAGATGGAGATTGTTCATTTGGTATAAGTGTATATTTTATTGGTAATGAGAATTGTTGCATATTAATAGCACAATCAGATAAAAACGAAGGTATATTTGATGTTTCAGAAGATAATATGAATTCTGGAAGATGAGTGGATTCATTTGAATTATGAATTTTATTATCATTTACCGACCGTGATGATTCTACAGAGGATAAAAATGTACGATCAGTGAAAGATGAATGTACAACACTTCTTTCTGCTTCGAGCTATCGAAAAGTAAATAATAAATAATTTAAATTATGAGATATTCAGTTTGAAAATTAATAAATGTTCATTCATTTGTACAGAAAAACATTGTTATTAGTAAATGGTGTTATATATTGACAATTTAACAAATCCAGTCCCTACTACTTTCGTTTCATATAAAATTAGTCTACACAGAACTTTTATATTAAGTACTATTCATATAAAAAATTTCGAAATTATTATATATGAGGACCTACTACTTATCCACTGAATGATCAATGAAACTGAAACTTAACGAATTACGTTATGAAAGTTAGTAGGAAATCAGCTACACAAGAGGATACATTCAAATTTCAGTTTTAGACTTACAAAATGGATTCAATTATAGCTAAGTGAATCGCCTTATCATATAGGCAAATGGAAAAGAAAACAAATAAAGAGAGGTGTAAGCATCATAGTTCTTTGCAACGAGACATTTTCCTTCAATCGTCCTACCTGTTTTTGATTGGTGAATGAAAACAAACACAGTATGAGGGATAACCTGTACGATAAACGTGCATGATAATGAATTATCCGAACAACTAAATAAATAATGTCAATGGTTGTGATCACCACTCAAATACCCGAATTACACCAGTATTCTCGCCGAATCATAACAAAATATTTCGAGATAGTAAATCACTGAATGTGCCTATGATATTGATATGGAATTTTGAAGATTAATGACATATTGTAAGATAAATCGGTCATAAACTAACCTTAGTAGAATAAAGACATAAGAACCTTATATTCTTCTAAATAGACATACACAAAAGTGGTTTATGATGATCCTGGAATGCTTTGTCTAGTTTCAGGATTAATATTCACCGTGAGTTAGCTTTTAAAAAAAAACTATCCGTCATAGATTACAACTAGAAACCGTTTACTTACATTATGTAGTTCAGTTTTCAAATCAGTCAATTCAATACCTGATTGACTAATAGGAGAAACACTTGAAGCACTTATGTGTGAATCATATTTTTCATTTGAAATAGAGTTTAATGAATCATCATCTATGACAGAACTTGATAGATATTGTTGTGTTTTATATTGTACAAACTGAGGAGTATTTGTATTAGTTGTTGCTGTTACTGTATCGATTGTTTCATTATTTGAACTGACATCTTGACACTTAGTTGTTATTAATCTCGTATTTGAAACAGATGTATCATCAGTATATTGAAAAGTAAAGAACGGATAATTTGAACCTAACTTCTCTTCTTCTTTGTCTTCATCAGCTTCTATTTCGGCAACTGCTTGATGAAAGCTGGATGTCACTTGAGCAGGTGCGCCTGGATCATATAGGTCATTATACTAAATAGTATAGTTTAAAATACAAATTAATACGTTGATTTGGAAAATTATAGTGAATAAGTAATGAACAACTTTCATATATTATCCTTGAAATTCATAGGATTAGTTATATATAAATATATTCCTTTTATTATAAACTTTTGTTTAACTTATTGGCTACCGTTATACGATTTACCATTTTCAACTTATTCCCAAACTATTCCAGTTACAGTCTCTCACACTCACAGCCACTTTTGGACAGATCTCGTATGATTGTTATTCTTTGTCTTATGGTGGGATGCGGTCTGGTCTGTTTATATATAAACCAGGTATGTCTGAAATATACGAGTGATATAGTGGAGGCTGATATTTTTGTTTTAGGCTGAACCGGTTGTGTTAGGCGAGTAGCTACTATTCTGAGGACCAATTAGGGTTCAGAATTGATGCAAGGCTGCTAGTGCTGATTGATATGTTACTGGTTTAGCACAGGAACAAGTTAATATAAGCCGGTATTCCGATTAGTGGTTCTTTCATGTGATAATTGACAGGGGAAAAAGTCATAAAATGTTTCGTATCACATAAACCTTAATCAACAAATCTATTAGTCTGGACACAGATAGTCCACAATTTCACTAACGAGTATTTCACATTGATGTTATTGGAGTACGGTTTCACAACCTCCTACAGTTAACACACTACGATTTAAATAAGTTAGATGAATAACATATCTTAGCTGACTCATAGGTATCATTACCTAATTTTGATTTGATAATTTCGAATAAATTGAGCATTGAGTCGATTGTTATAAATAAATAATATATATTTGTAATATCCCAGTGAGCAGAAAAATTACATTTTCTGACGATTTGTGACTCAGTGTAAGCCACATCTTCAGAAGATAAATAAATAACGAAACGTCACAAAACGTCAGAAAATCTAATTTTTCTACTCATTGGGATGTTACAAATATATTATTTATTTAGTTGACTTGGTTTCTTTCAATAAATTAAATGAAGCAGCACAGAAAAAGAGCTGTAGATGCAACCACTATTTGATTTAGATATTGGACGTGGATTATTCTCTCTTACAAATATATGTTCAATACCCTTAATATAGGGTCGCAATAAAAATCAAGACAGTATCTTGAAGATCGCGAAGCGTTTAAACCACGGAACCACAATCAAATAATTCATATTTTTCTAAACCTATTTGATTTATGTCATTTTATGACATTATTTTTCTTCTAAAGATACAAATTAAGCACTATAAAACACTTAAGTAAAAATAGTTTGTTTTGTAACAGACAAAAACCGTCTTAAATGGTGTATCAGTGTTATACAAGCTTAGTTTAAGTGATGAAATTAAAACACTATGAGTTACATAATTTATTGTATAATTTTGATCAGTTTACGTACAATTGTTGTTGAAGCTGAAGACTCATAGTTTCGATCAAGTGTTAAATCAGCAATGAGGAAAAAAACTGAGGTACTTTCATTAGTTATTTAAATGATGTCATTCCCCGATGGAAAATAAATAAACTGTGTTTGATACGAAAGTTTGTTTTACATATAGGATTTTCATGCGTACATAATTCGGTTTATTAACTTAAACAGACTAACATGGATTCATGAGAAATTAACCATATACGATGAATTCTTGTTATCCTTCGTAAATTATTGTTCATGAGTTTTCAAAGAAATTTTTTATTTGTTTTAATGTACACAGGTCAGACAATATAAATAAAAATAAATTTGAAAAAATATTTGTAACACGTGTTAGTGGATGATAAACATCGTTGAAATTCGAATCTTTCAATCTCTCTGAAAGTTGAAAGTGAAGTATTTATTTAAACAAAAAACAATAACTATCAAACTTAATTTATTGATTGAATTATGTATATATCTGTACAACGAATTCAAGATAACTCTCAACAGCAGGCTTCAAGCCTTACAAGAATCTAGTCAAAGAAGATGAAACTGCTATGGGAGACAACTGGAAACGGATAAAAGAAGCACTAACTTCAATCTATCAAGAGGTTCTAGTCCGTAGGAAGAATCACCATAAGGAATGGATCTCTATAGAAACTCTGGAAAAGATTCAAGGAAGGAAGTAGACGAGGAGAATGATTAACGACAGTTGAACAAGAGTAGAGAAATTCAAGGCACAAGCTGAGTACATGGAAGCAAACAAACAAGTGAAGAAGAGCACAAGAGCTGACAAGCAGAACTACTTCGAAGACCTAGTAACGACAACGGAAAAAAACTGTAAGAAAATGAAATATGAGACAACTGTATGATACAACAAAGAAACTAGCAGAGAGAAATAGTAAACCAGAGAGACCAGTCAAGAACGAAGAAGGAAGAACAATCACAGAGATTCAAGAACAGAGGAACAGATAGGTAGAATAATTCGAGGAACTGTTGAATAGACTAGCTGCACTGAATCCACTGGATATCGAGAAAGCATCTACAAACCTTCCTATAGATGTCATTCCACCAACGATCGAAGAAGCCAGTATGGTCATCAGACAAATCAATAATGTGAACGTGGCAGGACCTGACAATATACCAGCAGAAGCACTGAAATCAGACATTGAAATAACTGCAAAGATGCTTCACCTTCTATTCAAGAAGATTTGGGAAGAAGAACATGTGCCGATGGACTGGAAAGAAGAGAACATCATCAAGATACTAAAGAAAGGAGATCTGAGCAAATGTGAGAACTACAGAGGCATCACACTACTGTCAGTAGCAGGAAAGTTTTCAAAAAAGTGTTGCTTAACCGGATGAAAGATTCAGTAAACGCCCAACTTCGAGATCAACAGGCTGGATTCCGTAGGGAGCGGTCGTGTACAGATCAAATTGAGACACTACGGATCATCGTTGAACAAGCATTTGAATGGAACTCATCACCATATATACACTTCCTTGAATATGAGAAGGCGTTTGACGTTGTGAACAGGAGAACATTATGGAAACTTCTTCGACACTATGGATTGAGTAGCTGAGAAGATCGTCAATATTATCCGGAACTCTAACGACGGACTACAATGAAAAGTGGTGCATGAAGGACAGCTGACTGATGCATTTCCAGTAAGGACCGGAGTCAGACAAGGTTGTCTACACTCCCCCTTCCTCTTTCTTCTGGTGGTCAATTGGATTATGAAGACCCCGACATCTGAGGGAAAGCATGGAATACAATGGACAGGTTGTATGCAGCTAGACAATTTAGACTTTTCAGATGACCCACCCACCTATCTCATACACACGAACAAATACAGACGAAGACAACTGATGTAGTAGCATCCTCTGCATCAATAAGCCTTAACATACACAAAGAAAAAAGCAAGATTCTCAAATACAACACAGATAACACCAACCAAATCACACTTGATGGCGATACTCTGGAAGATGTGGAATGTTTCACCTACCAGGAAAGCATCATTGATGAACAAGGAAGATCTGATGCAAACGTAAGGGCAAGGCTCGGCAAATAAAGAACAGCATTTCTACAATTGAAGAACATATGGAACTCAAACAACTGTCAACTAACTTCAAAGTGAGAATCTTCAATACGAACGTCAAGACAGTCCTACTGTATGGAGCTGAAACGTGGAGAACTACTACGACCATCATCAAGAAGGTACAAGTATTTATAAACAGTTGTCTACGCAGAATACTCAACATTCACTGGCCGGATACCATCAGCAACAGCCTTCTATGGAAGAAAACAAATTGGATTCCAGCTGAAGAAGAACTTAGGACGTTGGAAGTGGATCGGACATAAATTACGGAAATCACCAAACTGCATCACAAAGCAAGCCCTAAATTGGAATCTTAAAAGGTATCGGAAAAAAGGATGGCCAAAAAACACACTGCGTCGAGAATTGGAAGCAGACATCAAAATGATGAATAGCAACTGGAAAGGATTGTCCAGGACAGGGTTGGATGGAGAGTGTTGGTGCACGGCCCATGTTCCACTACGAAGAGTAACAGACGTAAGTAAGTAGGTAAGTGTTGAGTTATCTTTCAAATAAAGTAGATCTATGTAAAATGTTTGGTCTAAAAAACTTTGAATATACAGTAATGATTGCAAAGAGTTGAATACGTTGTTTGAAAAACGAATTTCTACATACAAGTGACCTACTTGTCTTAAACGTTGCTCCCATGCTGACATTTGACTAGCTTCACTTCCACGACGATAAATTTCTGGTATCTCTTCAATATTAAATTTATTTTCACTGGTTATACATTGCATATTTGAGGTCTGAAGAGATGGAAGTTTTTGAATCCATGAAGTATCATGTAACTTTTGTTGAATTTCTTGTAATAATTCGGACGTTAATGGTTGATGACACCTACATTGTAGTTCAGTTTTGACGGTGCCTAAAATTGCAGTAGCACGATAAATATTTAATAAAATTGACATTTTAATCAACTGATGTTTGTCTTTTAAAAAAGGAAATAAATGTATTCATATTGGATTTCTTCATAATTTAATACTGTACATAGCTCGCGTTCAATATCAATTCAGATATAATTGTCAATTTAATTTAGCCCATGAAACTACTTGGATCATTTAAGTAGTATGTAATTGTTATTCTAACTTACAAGTTTAGTTTCTAATGTTCTTAGTCGTAACCTGTTCTTTACTATATGCATCTCTTACATAAATAACTCGACTACTTATCAGTTTTTAATTGCTATAATAATCAAATCACTGAAATAATAATTCGTTCGTGAAATTATATAATAAAAACAATTCTCGTAGATGTACCTGATTGTTGTCTTACTGGTCCACAATTCACAGGTAAACTAAAACGTTTTTGATGTCGAATAAATTGTCTATCCCATAATTCACTTTTTAAATTTTCACCAGTTTGATCAAATTTTTTATGTGTAAGTTTCCACCACAATCCTAAAGGAAGACGTCTTCTTTGAGAATGTAAAGCAGAGAATAATGAACGTTGTTGAGCAGCTAATGATCGAGAACGAGATTCTGGGAGTTGCTGTTGTTGGCAGCTTTGTTGAGGCTGTACGCTAGATGAAGAGGATAACGGTTTTGAATTTTCACTATCATCATGTTTTGGCCGAGATGTTTGAACCCAATCAGAATTCGTCACAGATGTTGTAGTTCCTTCTATGGGATTTGGTTTTGGATTATGAACAGTGTTGATTACAGCTAAAGATGAATTTTCACTCCCAGCACCAGAATCCTATGCACATATCAGATCATAAAAATACACAATAGACACTGTACTTTTATCCTATTAACTTAAAAGCGCTGCAATGCACAAAAAATGATGACAATTATCACTGACTCAACATACGAAGACTAACTAGACCCTAAAAAGTATTTGCTAATAATATAAATGTATACAATAAATCTATTCAATCGAATGATACCCCTGAATAATTATTGGTTTTGATGATTTAGTCAGTGAGTCAGTCACGACGTAGAACTTCGTACGTACGTACATCAGTTCGAGTTTCCACGATTATTAAATATTTTATTAATGATTCTTTCATCTTACATTAGTCATGTTTACCCCTATTATTGTTTTCATAAATCCACTTGACATACAGTCTGATTCGAATACACGACTAACACGTTCATATCTTTCTACAAGCACTATACTCTTAGACAAACGATATGGAATCCAGTAATCTACATTTTTAAATCGATTTGCAGGGAGGTGTAGAATTTTTAGAATGGACCATGTATAACTATTACTCCATTTTAAGTATAAAGTTTCAAAGGTTTATCAATACTTGGTTAGTATTTAGTTTAGACAAACAGTATCTATTTTTACAGGATTAAAATCAAGATTCGATCCAAGATGGATCATCGCTGAAGGCCTGGAAGCGCTGGACAGCCATTTCACCATAGTATGAAACTGCTCAGAAGTACACATTCAAGATCCCGGACGCGGGAATTGAGCCCAACACCTTCGGTCTTGTGCACGGACGCTTAACTTATAGACCACTTAGCAGTTCCATACTAGGAAGAAACGGTCGCTCAGTGCTTCCAGATTTTCAATGGTGGTCTAGCGTAGATAGACTAGTGATTTCAACTGTGATAATACTACAATCTCCACAATTCCCACATACTAAAAACAGTAACTTGTCGAGAATGTGTACAATGTGGAGTGAAGTGGTTAAATCTATCAAAAACTTTGAAATATCAAAAACAAAAATGATTCAGTGAAAGTACCTCTTTACGGTAATTCGCTTGTTCCGGATAACTACCCCCTACCGTGATTACAGGTCGATGAAGTGGCTGTAGATCAGCTGCACCATCAGATGATCTACGAGGAAAACTAGAACTATCTATTAAAAAACATGCGAAAGAAGGGTACGAAAATAAGAGAAAGAATTCAATTTAAACGTAGTGTAAAAGAAAAACGCATTTATGTTAGTACTTTAACAAAATACACAAAACTGATGCCTTTGAAACCGATAAATTACTTGTAACAACTTAATAATTTAATTAAAGACGGTCAAACAATATCGCGGAGTGAATGAAATTAGAATTTTATACAATTTGGTGAAAGATTAGGTGGTCTAGAGGTTAAGCGCTTGCCAAAATACTGAAGGTACGGAGTTCGGGGTAGTTGATGTGTACTACTGAGGAATCCTGAACTAGAGCGAAACGGCTGTCCAGAGTTTTCTGGTTTCCATCGGTAGTCTAATTGATATCAGTCCGTAACGTAAACAACTTGGATTCATAAATCATTTACAAAGAGAATGATGTGCATTAATTTTCGTGGAGTAATTTAAAGTTATAAATTTGAGGAAAACGGAATACTTCTCCACCTTATATGAAACCTGATTTAGTCTGAAAATAGTTTCTGATCATCACGTTCTGGTATCTACAACTGATTGGCCACTTACCAGTGATTATCTTCATGTATGTGAAGTCATTCTTGGTGCTGATCAAATTCTATCAATGTCCAATTATATCTCAACACAGTGTATGTGATATCAAGTCACTTAGACTAGTGGTCAAATTCCAGCTTGATCTATGAAATTTGATCAGGAATATAAAGGAATTGACATACACGACATTTGTCACTACTGGGTGATAAGTAAACTGTAAATTTATCTCTATCCTGCTGGAGGTCAGTGGCTGCTAAGTGGCAGCGTCTCTGACTACGAAGCTGGGTGACATAAGTCGAATGAGCAATGAAGCATCAGTTTCTTTGAAATTACAGGTAGATATTGCCGAAAAGTGCCAAACACCACTTTACTTAGGTTGTAGGTTTCCAGTCAACTACCTTCAACCATCACCTAAGTTTCTGGCACCAGTTAACAAGACCAATTACTAAAGTTCTGCCTTGAAGAGGTGACTTCTGGCATTCAGATATATGGGGAGTAGAACAATCGTCGTCAAAAGCATTGAAAGACCATTGTACTGTATTGCTAATTAACTGTAGATGATCTTATTTTCTTAAGGTAACGATGTTGCCACAAAATGTGAAGGTGTTATATCTGACAGATTATGTATGTTATTATGCATGCTTACATTCAAACTATAAAAAACAGCTGACAAGTGCTACATAGTTGCCAGTGTTTCTCTAGCTGATATCAAGTCTGGATGAATACTGTCTTCAAAGTGAGGTTAGCAATGTCACCAAATAGTTTAACGGTTTAAGGATTAACAAAGGCACAATGGCACTTGATGATATCATATCCATGTATGATAAAATATATAGTCGTAGGTTAGATAAAATAAGCACTTGTAAAACATACATGGAGTCATAAACTCTGGCGGAGCAAGTAAATTTGGATCTTTAACAGTAAAACAGGCTACAGGTTGATGAATCATAGCTGGTAAGTTAGCCGGTAAGTTAAGCTGTGGAAGTAGTGTACGCAGTACTCCAACTGTTGGATCGCATGAATTATCATCTTCATCTTCATCCACTCCACCTGAAATACGAACAGTGGACCAGCAAGGATCTTCTAGTGAGGTTGGTTTTTCAATTGAGACATGAGTTGTATTCTAAGAAATTCAAGAAAAAATATTCTAGACAAATGAACTAGGAATACTGTGTAAAGTGAACACTGGAAAAGAAAAATTAAAGGTATTTTCCATAAGTAGATAATACATTATCGCTTTATGATTTGAGTAAAATAGCTTTAATCGAAACCATTCTTCAGTATCCGTTTTATTTTAGGTGGGTTTCGGGAATTGATAGGAAATTCTAGATCGAAGGCCTTTACTTGTGACAGTTACTATGTACGCATAATTCCAGGTTTTTGATAAGAATATCTTTCTCGTTCATGATTATTTTGACAGAGCGGTTAATTTTTCATTTTAAGTTTATTTTAAACTTATCACCTATGGATAAGATACATATGCGCCGCACAAGTCATTTCATTTGTGTGAGGGCTTGGATACTGCCTAGGTGACAAAACCGAAGCAGGTGGTTTTCTTAGGGGGCCACACCCGGAGCCTTTGACCTAAAGATCTGACCCACAAGGCAGTGGAGCATCGTGAGGAGATGCAGTCCCATGGTAGCCGATGACCAATGACTGATTCATACGCCATTTGTTCGATCAGGATACTGGAGCCCATGTGCACCATTGGTTTGGAATCAGGGTTTTCCAACTCCCCTAGGTGAACTTTCCATGTTCACCAACCCGGTTAAAGCGTCGGACATTCGCTTTTCGTCCTCTCACTTTCGTAAACAACACCCCTTTTTGAGAGAAGGCAGTGAGTAGGACTTCCCTGGCAGAGGCTATATATGCATGACCATGTGAGAGTATTTCGAGAGGGAGAGTGGACTCTCCCCACTCTCGGCCGTACCAGGGCATTTGGAGGCATATTAAATGGTCACAATATAAGATTAAACAACAGTAAAGGTGTTTGCTCTGTCAGTGTTTATTGATGTTTTGTCAATTTATATTGACAAATCTTGTCAGATAGTGAGTTTTATCAAATTTTTGTTGTTCATAACAAATAAATATTTTAGGTGAATATTGTACTAAAAATTTTTCAGTTTATATACACAACTGATAAATATGTATATTTTTGTTGGAATTCTGAATGTAAAAAAACCCTACGAACACTTACATTCACTTTTTCATTAGTCTCTGTGTTAATATCTATTGAAATTTGTTCTGGAATACGATCTAACAGCAAAGGATCACATGATGGTGTTTGTGGATTAGTATATTGTGAAGGAATCAGTTGACTTTTCGTTGTAGATTCATATGGGCATTCAACTGGAAATCCAAACGAAAATTATTATGAAAACAGATAGAAGTATTAACAAATTATTTACAAAATAATCTGAAATTAGATCGATTTATTGTTTCTTTCAAATGTGTACTGAAACGACAAAGAATCAGAAAACCTAAGTCAGTCATTTTATCCAAACTTAAAACTCAGCTGTAAGTCACAGCATTGATTCATATCTATTTAACATGAATACCCCTAAATATGCTTTATCTAAATATCAAGGCAATATACTGAAGCCACTTCAATATAACCTAAATGATGTCGTACAGAATTTATATGAATTTAAGTCAAAGATCTTGGAGTTATTTATTAAAAGGAATGAAACAATGATAAGCTTTGATGTGGTATCTTCATACACTAGTTTTCCAAATGAAAGATGTATGGGCTTTGTTCAAGCTTTGCTACAGGGTGATAATACTCTATATAGTAGGTATCCATTAATCATTAGTTCAGTCACGAAATCAACGCTGTTCACTTTTAGAGGGGCTATGTATGAGCAAATGAATGGAGTAGCCATGGAATATCGGGTTTCACTTGTTGTTGCTAATTTATTTATGTTCTATATTGAGTCACTTATTTTTTCCAGTACCATCAGAACACGCATTTGGTTCAGATATGTGGATGACACACTTGTCATCATTAAAAAACATCCGCTTATAAATTCCTTTAGGCTGATTAAGTTTCTAAAATCACATTAAATTCTCAGGCAAAAAGGAAGATGAAAATCTTCTTAGACTATTTAGTTAAAACAAATTCTAATGGAAATCTTAGTCAAACGATATATTGAAAACCGACACAATCAAGTCAATATAGTGATTTTAACTTTGCACATTCATTCTGTGCAAAAATTCTCCTGACCCTTTTCAGAAGAGCTAACAAGGTCATTACACAAAAAGACCTAATGATCCTGTAGAGCAGGAAAATCTACTAATTCAATCAGCAATAGCAGTACATGCTATTTTCAATAGCCACCAAAATAATATTAAAAATATCAAAGTAATCCAGAAACGCTTTTTCAACTATAAAGAGAAGCGAGCAGCCGAAGCGTCTCATATAATGCTGAATCCCCCTATCCTAAATACAAAAAAAGCCCTGACTGTTCGTCCAATCTGGACTGTTTCTTTAAACAACTACATGTGATTTGATTCGTTTTCTGCACAGTATACACACACTAAAACTTTTAACTGTATATCGTCATATTACAAACTGTAGATTTTTTATTCCTACTATAATATGCACAAATAAGCACAGTGATGTCTCACAAAAAATCACCTTGACGAAAAATAAAATGATATCGACATGGTCAAACCCATTATGATTTTCGTTGCACTGAAAATATTCTGCTTTGTTTCCTTTGATGTATTTAAACTTGTGTTATTTCTTTGACCTACTACTTTTAACTGAAGAAGTGGCTTACATTAAATCAAAAATACAACTTTCTACTCATTGGGATACACAAAAAATGTAATAAATAAAAAGTTCAAGTGCCAGTCAAATCTCAGTGCAGTGCATTCACATACGTGTTGATCCTTAATGCCTATTGAAATAAATCAACCAAGTTGTAATGTGATTGTCAGTACAAAAGTGTATGTTTTGGTGTTTCTATCCAATTGTCAAGAATCGCTCGATCTGAATTTTGTGATAGTTGTTATTCGTTAGTAAAGTGTATTTGTGGTCCTAGTGAAACTAATGTTCCTCATGTTGTCTATTGTAGTAGTTAAGCTTTTTAGTTCTTGAATAACAGTCCCCAAGTGTTATGAAATTCATCCTTTAAAATATGTCCACCCAACAGGATCACGAGGTTATCAAGTTCACTAATTACACATTCGCTTTTACATGAAAAGTTAATGACATTTTAATTACCCAATAACTCAATAACATAGGATGACCAGAAATCCTAATTCTTAATAATCGGAAGCAATACGTTCTGTCTATAATATCTTCTATTAATAAGAATAGAAAGTTCTGGATTATGCAAAATAAAAATGGATCGTAGGCCCAAACCAAAACCGATTCTCAACAGTATTAGATAATAAAAACCGAAAGTGAGCAAGAAAGAACAAACAATCAATTTTCACCTGCATTGAGACATTCTGCTTTTAATAGAAACATATCACTTCTTCCAGACACCATATTTGGTTTATCCATTACTGTCACATTATAATCAGCAACTGACGGGATATCTTCTGTTAATTGGATAGACTGTGATATTTCTTCTGACAAGATGTTTTCCTGATCAATTAGAATTGAAACATCATCTTGCTCTCCTTCTTCTTCATCATCACCTGTGGTTGCCTCTATGGTGATTGTATCCCTTTTCATTGATGGTAACTTTGTGGTAGCTGCTTCTTGTCCTAACTCAAGTGACGTTATTGTTTGTTCATTTTGTTTATTAATCTTATGTAAATATGGTCTTGATGATTGTAGTAAATGGGATTTCTGATAGCTCGATTGGGTTGTCTCCCAAGTATTTGGTAACCAATCCAAACGAGTCTAGTAGAAAAATATTTGATGAAGCACGAAACACTTTAAAAGGTAGAAAATCTATAATCAAAATTAATTCAATTGAATAATTCTCCAATGAAGTATTACACTTTAGATATTATTATTACTAATGTGTAGGTTAAAGTTCAACCTATAGTAATTTGAATATTCAGAAAAAATCAGTTGTTTAGGTAAACATATCAGAAAATATAACACACCAGAGAAAATGTTAACATTGTTGACAGAGATTTGTTACTGAGAACGAGTCTGGATTGTTATTAACTGTTGTTTCAGTGAGTATATGAACTAGTTTCTAATGAATAATCATTGAAACAAATAGATAAAAGAAGGATCAGATGGATTACCGTAACAGATGACGAAGACGCTCACTAAACAATCAAATTTGATACATATAAAGCTTAGATTAGATCCACTTTACGTGTTAAATATCCCCTGTATTATTTTAATTTTAAACTGATGTGTTTGTTGGTACTCACAGGGCTATAATACCTGGAATTTATGCTGTGATAAAGAACCAAGATGTAATCTATAAAATTTGAAGAGACAGTAGGTTTTTCTAATCACTGATTATGTAAAACTAATGTTATTTAGTTGTGATGTGCGTTTCTCATATGAATAGATATAAGTAGTATGTAGAGGGAATAGGAAGAGGAATACCTACCATCAGAAAATTGAAATGAAGAGAACAGGAGGGAAAACGGGGAGCAGTAGGAATAACATCAGAACTAAAAGAATGATAGAGTATGTAAAAGGCAACTGAAAGATGTGCAAATGATGTCTTTAATGTATGATATTCATATTTTACATAGGTACTGTGTGATTTTGCATAAAAGAATAAACTGCATCACCGTACTTGGGTCTTTGTTCACTACATAGTCACTTCTTAGCAGAGAGATTGTGTTCAAGAATTCGACATCATGTCTAGAGGATTATGTAACTAGGGTTAGTCAAACTATGAGGTTAGGAACCAGTATGAATTATTATGTTTTATGAAAATGTAATGTATGCGTTCTATCTACCAACAATATTTTCTGGAACAGAAAACAGGTAGCTTAGTTTGGTCTAAAATTACGAGGTATTCATGTATGGGACCAATTATTCGATATATTTAGACTTCTAAAGTAGCTTCAATGACATTGATTAATCAGTCTTTTGAACCTTCAATATAAAGAGAGACATGTATAAGGAGTCTGATTGACAATAATACGGACAAAAATTAAAATTGAAAACATAGATACAGTAGAAGTTCTAGTTATTTTTCCATTAAATTCCATTATTTTATCAATATTGTTTAGTGTTAAGGAGTTTTATATATTGTGACAATAAGAACCAATAAATTGGTCATAGCCCCAGACAACTTTAGCAAGACAGCCATCCGAAACTAAGAAGAATGATACAACTCCCCAGTGCTTCATTGTTTTCAATGGTCGTCTCAGCTAAAGTCGGACAGTGGTGTTATAGTGGCCTCATTTTGTAAATTTTAGACATTGTATTGAACTGTGGACACTAATGAAGCTATATAAACCACTTCTCAACTTTTCTCTGTATTATAGTTTTATTTCGTCTACGCTCGGACATTTAACCGAAAGGTTGTATAATGTATTCTATTATCATCATGTGAATAGAATATATGTATAACATTTTTCTATCAGTTTCGAATTTAACTTGATTTTTAATGAGTTGTTCCTCAAAACTTTGTGTCTGGATCTCTGATATTTTGTTGTCGGTAGCAGTCAATTTAACGATAGGTGTATGCGGAGGTATACGAAGCTTTTCAGGGACTCGTACAATTGGAGTTCAACAGGACTAAGGTATAATATATACAACAAGGTAAACTATATAATATCTCGATCTCTTTAAACTTTGCACAGGTTATTCATTTTGATTTCTGTTGTTAAACCAATATTCAAACAGCCATAGGTTCATTTAGAAAATGACTATATATTTATGGTTACGTGGTCCTGTTGTAACCAGAACAATTAACGGGTTTCATCACTGTTGTTCTAACAAAATGATTAGATTATAAATTTGTTGACAGAGACAACAGCTGATAGAAATTTGTATTTTAATTAAGATTAACTACTACGATATACGAATAAAACCTTGTTTTTCTACGTAGAATTATGGCAATTCAAATTGTAGACGGAACTCGTTGATAATTTTACACTATGATAGTAAAATGATACAAATATATAAAATTTGTTAGATTTTAATTCCTGAATTTCATTATTAGTGATAAATTAACCAGATCCAAAAGATGGACGTTTGAGTTTTCCAGCTTAAATCCCGTAAACGACCAGAAATAAGAAAAGTTGCATGGTCACATGTTAGAAAAATGCTAACATTTATTGTTCCTTGCTATTATTTAGTAAATATTTATTTCCATATAGTTATTAATTAAGCATTTAACCGATGATTGATCTGACTATGATCAGTCCCAGTAAAACATAATTAAAATGAATTGGAGTGTTTTATTTAAATTCACTACAATAAGGTAAAAAGTTGCCAAAAGATGCTTTATATAGGGCCAGTCAACATTCAAGTAACTTACAAGTAACATTTGATCTGAATTATCCGGACTAGTTTGACTATATTGTAATCGATTTGAATGTGGTTGAGTAATTTGACGGGGAAACCGACGTACTATAGTTCGTTTAACACTATTACCATTTGTCTTACTATTACTACTATTATTGTCATCAGGTGAAGAACTTTTGTTGTTGTTATTCACATCAGTTAATTCATCAGATTGTTTAGCTTTTGCATTGGGATGTTTTATGGACATACTGTTGATGGTAGTAAAAGATGTATCCGACTGATGATTGTTTACATCATCATTATCATCATTATTTGTTAAATTATTTTCAGGATTATCACGTTGATTGGATGGTTTACGAAATAATGATGTAGTAAATTGTAATGTATGACGTCGTATTGAATTAGAAAATGATTTATTTATTGACCCTGAATCAATACCGAAATTTGAGAGAATTTCATCTTCATCAGCCTTAAAGAAAAGTACAAACATTCACGGTCAATAATTCGGTAAACTAAGTGTTGATGATCAGAACCTGGTGTATGCATCTAAATGATTTCATCCGAAATAAAACAGTTGCATAAAACTGACTTTTAAACTAATATTTACATCTTTATGAAAATAGTTAATTGGTCAATCTTAACATGACGCTTCAATCAACAAATGACTGAATCTAAAAATATAAATTTACGAAATTCCTCTTTATTTTCGATATGTAACATGAGATTAACCTGATCGTCTTATTCTTCTTGATAGCTATAAAGTAAGTATACCAGGGATGTCAACGAAAATGTTCTTTAACAAAACACAGATACGTGCAAATTCATTGTTGAGGCTTTTTCTTTTACTCCAAAGATTCATAATTAAGATGTTTATGTAGCAATAACTGCAAACAATACGGTTCGATTGATGGAAATTGTACTAGTTGGAACAGTGATTTTTCTTTCTAGAAAGCAGAAAACTGATTTCACCTTAAATTGAATTATTTTATTGAAATAAATATTAGTAGGGTAGATATATAATTCTGTGGATAAAGATACAACGATAAATTGATGGTTTAATAATAATAATAATAATTGTCAGTATAGGGTTGTAGATATTGGATATAGTTCATTGAAATTATGAACTGATCAACGTTAGACTATTATTGAAAACAGTTCAATGCTTCCAGATTTTCAATGGTGATCTAACATAGATCGGTTCATAATTTTAATGGAACAATAATAGTATGATTGTTGATATGTTATCCATTTATTAACAACTGTTTTAAGTTATAAACACTTGAATTGAATAATTAGAATAAACACAAATGTTAGTATTATTTATTCAATGATAAATTTAAATTTAAAAAGTTAATGAATTCTGTGAAATTTTTATTTTGAATTCACTTGGTATTGTTTGTTTAAATCTTCCCATTGATGTGGCTATCAGGACTCAGTAGTTGAGTAGATAACGCAATGGTGTTTGAAGCGAGAGGTACTGGGTTCGAGTATCAAAGTGAACATCAACTCTGAGATGCAGGTAAATCCAGCTGACGAGTCCCAAATAGGACGAAACGCGCGTCCTGGTTACTACTACTAGTCACTATCCATCTTTGTTTATAATTTTATTTCCAGTGTTATTTCCTTTTGTGGGATTCAACTTGATTGGAAAATTTAACAAAATCTTTCATAAAAAATTGGATAATGAAGATTAAAAAAAATTTATCGAAACGTGACACAAAAGAATTAAACTTACTTTTAATATACATATGGCAGCATTCAGTTGAGTATTTTTTGGCTAAAAAAAAATAAGAGAGAAATAAACAAGAATATTTATATCTATATATTCTTCGTTAAAAATCAATAACAGTTAAATAGATAACTGATTCAAAGTGAATTCATTATTTTTGGTGGGCAATCCTAGGGACTACAGTATTTACAAAACCATACAATACTGATATTATAGTCTTGATTAGAGTTGTACAACTTAAATAATTAAAGTCAAACTGCTGGATATATTAGTTAAGCTTATACTAGTTAATGTTCAACAATTAATTTTAGCTTACATTTTAATTATTTTGATGCATATTGAAGCATTCAATAAGAACGGTAATCAATAATAATAAGTTGATTAAACGTAATCCTGAGGGAATAAATGGCGTAAGAATCTATTGTTGGTCACCACCTTTCACGAGATTAGATTTCCTAACGTTGCTCCACTACCTTGTATATTGCGATTTTGGATCAAAGAGTCAGAGAGTGATACCTTAAAAAAATCACCGGCTTCGGTTCGCGCACACGGGCAGTATTCCAACCAATATACAAACTAAATGATGACTACAACTAGAAAAAACTATTCACGTATTCGTTTGTATTCATGCAAATGATACTCAAAACTACTTGTTAATATTCGTCTTTATTTTACATTGCGTCATATGTCTAATACTTTATTCCCATTAGTTTATTTCTTTATTATTCAACTCATTCAGCAGCTTATTTGTTGTGGTGAACAATCTTAGTTTCAGTGCCATAAACATGTACTAAGAATTTCGTCTCAGTGAATCTAACATCGTGCATTGCTTGTATACGCTAGGACTGGCTGGAAAAAGCGGAGAGGTGGTCAATGTATGTCATGATGTCAAGGTACGAAAAAAAACTGTACAGGACTGGGATCCGTTGGTCCTTCATTAGTTCTTGCTTGCGGTTCCAGAGATGGTGCAACACGGTGGCTTGAGATGCTATCAGACATGACTCAGAATAGAGACTTGCTATAATTCTTTTTTGTTTTCTCTATATAAGTGAGAACTTTTTTAACTGAAAGAATCCTTTTTGGCTATATCTTTCTTAATTGAACTGCTTCTCCTATTATTATTATTATCATTTTTATTACTTCCACTCATTCTTTTATACTCACCTTCCTTTCTCTATTTCTTCACAACCTCATTTTTATTTTGTGGTGTATATTTATTTTGGTGCCTATCTGTACTAATGTTTGTGTTCAAATAAAGTTATGCATAAACAGAACGCGATCCTTAGTATAAACTACAGGATGATGTAAGCTCTTATAAATATATTTATTTAGTGTTGAATAAGTTGGTAGCTACCCAGATATGATAGCGCATGAAGCGATTAGTAATGTGTATAAGCCACACTGTAAAGCTGAATACTGGGATGTAATTGAAGTCAGATGACAAATTGTAAAATAGACGAAGAGTGAATTATCGATTTACCATTATTCACAATCACAAAATATGCTAGAATTTAAATAAAACTACAAACCATGTTATGTTTCTGCATATGTCACAATATTCAAAATTCTTGAACAAGTTTATATACATTTTAATTGTTGATGGCGAAAGAACCAGTCATAGTTATTATGATCTTATTAATAAAATTAGGTAGGATTATAGTATTGTCAATCTAAATAACTCGGTCCTCAAGAAACTGATACTCTCCATAAGAATAAATCCTGCATTCAATAATAATACAGTCAAAAATGTTACCAATGAGTTATTTGGGAAACGCATGACCTGTTGAAGCATTAAGATATTTACATGGATTGATCATTGATTAGTGAACAATATCACCAGTTATATAAAAAGAAAATGAAATTACATCGGTTTATAAAACACTTATTACTGATTAATCCCAACATCCAAAAAATAACAATCTGGTATCATATAGTATACATTTAATCAATCTGTGAGAACAATGAATAGTTTCATGATTCTGTACTACTATTTATTATACTTTTACAGATAACTCAACAACGCACTCTATAGGATAGTTTTAAACACATGTTTGCTTGCAATATGTCAATGCTCAACAATCTCTTGCATTATACATACCTGTTTAGCACATTTCCATTCTCTTAAACTACTTTCACTGAAATCTTTATTGGTAGTTGCGTCAGCTGTATTTTGTTTATTATAAGTACAAGAATTTTCAGATTTTTCAAGATTGGACGAAGTGATAAAAACAGTACTCATTATTGTAGAAGTAGTTGTATGAACACTGGTACAAGACAAAGAAGTATCCTTCATCACTACATCTGATACATCACTGGAATCACTGGACATGATAATATCGCTCGGAGGAATTTGTTCTTCTAACATTGTTTCATCCAATGCACTAAGCATTGCAGTTGGTTGTGTTGTTGATGTGGTTATACTTAAAACATTTGTATTGACATGTTCTTCAGACATATCACATCCAGCAAGAACATCAGAGGTTGGCTGCCATACAGGTCTTTGAGTTGTAGCTAGTTTGGAAAATTTCCCTGCTTGTTTTTTGGCTTCATCATTAACGAAATTTCGTAGAATAGGATTATGATAAAATATTTTAATTTTTTCTTTTAATAATTCATAAGCTGCATGATACCGATCATATTTCCTTTGAATTGTGGACTGGCGAATCTAAAAGATGTACGTAAAACTTGAAAATGAGGCTACAGCCCACTAGCATCAGGCTAGTTTATTTATGTTTACGAGACTCATTAATGAACATATTACAGAATGAGTATGCAAACGTGTAGTTAATGCTGTAATTAACATTATCTTACTCTATCTAGATCAAAGAGAGCATACATCTGTGGTTGTTCAGTGGTAATCATCAGTCTGTCATGTTGACATTAGCCTGCCAAAGTGGTCAGATTAGGTATCTTTCATGCATTAAGAGTAAAACTCACAAACAAAATTTTGTTACTATGCATTCAGAGGAATAATGTCTAGTTACTTTTTCCACTTTGGTCAGCCACAGACCTTGCAAGGTAAAATTTATCTAAATTGTAATGTAGCTTAATACATAGATCTTTTGCTGTGTTTCCGTAAATGTAAGTCTCGTCTGATTCAGTCACCAGTATTTTTACTATATTCTTTGATTAGTTTAAGAGTATCTTTTCTATCATAATTAACAGTATATTCAGCACTCATCACACTTTACTATCACTTATTTCCAGATTAGGTAATCTTCAATCGAACATTTGATATGGTCACTAATTTATTTTATTATTTTGTTTAAACACATATATAGTGGTACAAAAGGACACCAGATACATATGCGCCACACAAAATAATGAAAGTAAGAAGAGAAGGGATGAAAAGATAAGGTGGACTGAAATGTAAAACCAGAAGACTCTTTCAGTTAAGAAAGTTAGAACAACTCTTTATGTAGAAAGTAAAAGAAGGTTGCAGCAGGATCGCCACTGGCTTCTATTCTGAGCCATGTCTGATAACATCTCTAGCCACTGTGTTGCACCATCTCTCGGACACCAGCCAGGGAGTCGTGAAGGACCAACAAAAGCTAGCCCTTTGCAGCTTTCTTTCACGCCACGACACGATGTCATACACTGACCTCCTCTCCGCTTTTTCCAACCAGTCCCAGAGTCGGCAAATAATGCACGATGTGGAAGTCTCTGGGACGACATTCGTAAAACATGTCCAAGCCACCGAAGTCGGTGTTTCAAGATGGTGACACCAATTGAATTATCGTCTCTGCGCACCAACACACGATGCCGAACCTCTGCATTACTAACATGGTGTTGCCACTGTACGTCAGCAATCCTTCGGAGACAACGATGATCGAACACAGAGAGACGTCTAACATCCTCAACTCGGAGAGGCCAGGTTTCACAAGCATAGGGCAAAACTGCTCTCACCGACGTGTTGTAAATCCGACCTTTTACAGCCAAACTAACATCACGAAGGCGCCAAAGATGGCCCAGATTGGTATAAGCCGCTCTCGCTTTCATTATACGTGCATCAATCTCATCACTCACGCCACCACCAGCACTTATATAGCAGCCTAGATACACGAACTTCTCAACTACTTCGATCTGCTCACCGTCTAGGGTGAGTACACGATGAGAATCCTGCCAGTCTTGTAGGAGTACTTTGCACTTGGAGGGTGCAAAGCACATGCCGTACCTGCGGACACTGATTGCCAAATGAATAAGTGCGAATTGCATGCCTTGGGCATTATCGCACAGTAAGACAATTTCATCCGCATACTCAAGGTCGAGAAGTCGTTCTCCAGCAACATATCCACACCGCCATTACTTACATCCATCAGAGCTGTTTCCAGGAAGTCGTCGATGGCAAAGTTGAAGAGGAATGGTGAGATCGGGCAACCCTGCCTAACCCCACTGCTCGAATGGAACAAGGGAGAAAGGTGGTTGTATGCCCTCACTCTGCCTGGGGTGTTTGTATACAGGGCCTTTAAGATGTTAATAAACTTCTCAGGCACACCCTTCATCAATAGACAATCCCAGAGAACAGTCCTATCCAACGAATCGAAGGCAGCCCTTACATCAAGAAACACTACGATTGTTGGCCTGCGATAAGTATGGTGGTGCTATAACATTTGGCGGAGGGTGAAGATATGATCAATGCATCCTCGACCAGAACGAAAACCAGCCTGCTCCTCGCGAGTCAATCGTTCTCGGGTTTTAAACAACCTACGAAGAATGACAGAAGCCAATAGTTTGGACGCAATCGGAAGTAGACTTATCCCCCGATAGTTGTTACAGGAACAACGTGAACCCTTCTTAAAGATAGGGACGACTATTGACTCTTTCCATGATGTTGGAACACTTTCTTGCTCCCAAACCTTTGCAAACAACACCGTCAGTTCCTTAGCCAGAAAGTCACGACCATCTTTGAAAAGAGCCGGAGGTAAGTCATCTGGGCACGGTGACTTATAGCGCTTCAAGAGTTGGAGTTCCTTGCGGACTTCCGCCTCGTTTGGTGGATCAGTCGTCACCGGCCATGGGGGGCAGGACAAACTGGTTGATGTTGCCGGAGCAGCAGGCCAGTTGAACTGCCCTTCGAAAAATTCCGCCCATCGTCCAAGACGTCGAGAGATGTTAGTGATTGGCATCCCATCATCCTTGTAAATTGTTTCATTAACACAAGACTTCTCACTACCAGTGGCTCGGATGAGTTGGAAGAACTTCCGGCAGTTACCAGATGCGGCTGCTGCTTCCATCTCATTAGCACGCTCCGACCACCAGGCTTCTCGGTCCTTACGCAAGCTTTGCTCAATTTCATTACGTAACAGCCTTCGTTTGTGGTCAAACTCACGGTCACCCGGAATAAACCGACGGGCTTCTATCAGTTGTAAGGAGCCATAATAATTTCAGTGCTTATAAGCGGGACGTTTCGCGAAGCCGCAAGCGGCTTTACTCGCCATTTTCATGGCGCCGTGAAGGTGCAACCAATGCTCATCTATACTTTTCGGTGGAATGGTAGCTAGCCTAGAGGCTAGCTCCGCTCGATACTTACTTGCAACAGAAGTTGCAGCCCGTTTACTAACATCGATCCGTTGGTGGTGGTCAATCCTTCGGCCACTGAAAAGTAAGGTGAGATTGGCGCAGACCAGGGCATGGTCACACTCCAGATAGGTACTCCAAAAGGAGTGGCAGTCTTGTACACAACCACGTCAGCGGTAGCTGATCGCGATGTGATCAATCTGAGTCCAGGCTAGAGATGCAGAGGGAGGACGCCAGGTGGCACACCGGCGATGACTGTGCCGGAAGTTAGTGCTAGCCAGAAACAGGTTGTGGTCTGTGCACAGTTGCAGCAAACGGTCCCCGTTATCTGTCTTGCGACCAACAAGTCCCCATCGGCCACCTAAACGACTCTCTTCTGTGCCAGAACGCCCGACCTGAGCATTCAAGTCTCTGGCTAATACTGCAATATCTGTCGAACGCGCTTTCTGGAGAAGAACTGTTAACTGGTGGTAAAACTCATCCTTGATTGCATCCGGGCTGCAATCTGTCAGGGCATAGGCGGAGATGACGAAAAGACACCGTTTCTCACGCCGGTTTCTTCTCACTTTGATGGAACTTTCTAATCTAACAGCACATAACCGACTGTTAATGGGGATCCAATCGATTAGTGCTGCCTCAGCCCTAGCGCTTAGTGCAACACCAACGCCAGCAAGACCAGACGAAGATGCCACAGAGTCCCCGGATAAGTGCACGTGAAACAAGCTTTTCGAAGCGACAGATGGAGAACGAATTTGTAGTACTTCACTAGAGTCTTGAATACGGGTCTCGGATAGACACCAAACATCAACATTAAGACTTTCTAAAGACATAGCCAGCCCCATCTGTTGTCCGATCTGCATTAGTGTGCGAACGTTGAAGGAAGCCAGCTTGAACGGCGTACGTGATTTCAGAAAGACTGCTTCAGTATTCGTAATCAGTGGAAGCATTCACTTTCAACCAGACAGTGACTGGAGATCGTTTAGATAGGACAGAGTTTCCACCATGGGCGAGCTACTGCATAAGTTGGAAAGGAAGGATACACAATTTGGGAATAAAGGGAGTGAAAACGCGACGTAGTAAATAATAGTAATAATAATAGTGATAATAATAATAATGGTAATAATAATAATAATAATAATAATAATAATAATACTAATAATGTAAATTGTCTTGCTTCTAATATGAGCGAGAATAGTATCGTCAACAGAATTCATCATTTCATTTAGTTGTGTGTGGGATGTGATACTGCCCGGGTGCCCAAACCGAAGCAGGTGGTTTTCTTAGGGGGCCACACCCGGAGCCTTTGACCTAAAGATCTGACCCACAAGGCAGTGGAGCATCGTGAGGAGATGCAGTCCCATGGTAGCCGATGACCAATGACTGATTCATACGCCATTTGTTCGATCAGGATACTGGAGCCCATGTGCACCATTGGTTTGGAATCAGGGTTTTCCAACTCCCCTAGGTGAACTTTCCGTGTTCACCAACCCGGTTAAAGCGTCGGACATTCGCTTTTCGTCCTCTCAATTTCGTAAACAACACCCCTTTTTGAGAGAAGGCAGTGAGTAGGACTTCCCTGGCAGAGGCTATATATTCGCTGGCCATGTGGGAGCATTTTGAGAGGGAGAGTGGACTCTCCCCACTCTCGGCCGTACCAGGGCATTTGGGGGCCACTAATGGGATTATTTCACTCGTTCTAAATACCTTTTTTACGCCGATCATAGATCTCGTAGTCTCATCTGAACTACAATCTGATTCATGTATACACAGAAAACTCATCGTGTTAACATGTAGCTCCTAGACAACCGTTGAATCTAAGGAAGTATTGAAGAGTTATTACGTCCAACTATGGTATTTCCTAGCATTTTCAATCTACGGCTGGTGAATTTATTGAATTTAGGAATGTAGTGCATTAGATTTAAACTTAACGGTTTGAAGATTCAGTTGTGGATGTGTACTGCAGTGAAGTCGAATAATATGGCTTAATAACTGATCAGTGCTTCCGGCTTTTCAATGACTATTTATATACAGTCAGTCCATGATCTAAACTATGAAGTTTATTTGTTTAAGTTTAAAACCCATTTTCAGTTTGATTACTAATTTAGACTCAAAACCACATGATAATTTATTTTTTTTAAAAAGTCTATTCATTGACTTTTTCAAATATCTAAATAAAGCATAAGTAATTGGAAATTATTCATTATTCAAGAACTGTTTAATCTATCTGGATTAAAAATAAATGTAGAGTAATATTGACTAGGAAAGATGTAATCACTTGATAACATACTTGTTCTTCATCTAAACCTGCCTCTCTAGACAATGCTTTCACAACACCAATATCAAGTTTACGTTCAACCCTTTCTAGAAATTCCTCTTTAGCTATTTTACTATGTTCCGGATGTTGATGACGAAATAAAACTTCGAATTGACGTTCTTTTGCTTGCTTTTGATATTTGTTCATAAGTGATTTATAATGTTCCACATTTGGAGACTCTTGCATCCATGCCGTGGTCGTAACCTGCGACACAAATTAATAATAACAGAATATCATTCACGCATAAATAATTAAAAATGGGTTAAATATGATGATGCTAAATAAATTTTGCAGTGTGCAATTTAACAAAGTAATTGTCGTAAACATTAGGCTTGTCAATAGACAGCTTTTATAATGAGTCCCAAAATCACAGGGATAGAAGTAACACCTATTCTGTTACATGAAAATAGAGTTGTTCATAATAAAAATAACAGTGGTAACAGTCACAATAATAGTCTGTTGACAACTTTGAAATTATATTTCTAAATAGAAGATCAAATTATTTGGAACTGTGGACTACTTTTTAACAACACAATTAGAAGCAGAAATCTAATCAGTTGGAAGAATGGTAGCCCAGACGTTCAGGGAAAATGTGGAGTATCTAGGATTCTGTCGTGACCAATGCTTCAAACTTATGTTCACTAACCTATGTATGAGAGAGTATAATACACACACCTTTAGACATAATATTCTGAATTTAATTTCAGAACTTCCTAATAGTTTATCTACAGCCATTAACTATACAAAACAGTCATTCCATCTATAATAATTCGTTTAATGTCAAATAAGATTAATTATCTATGATTGTATAGAAGGTAGTCTTTCATAGGTCAATTTATGCTCATTTTCTTATTATGTGTAACGATCAGAAGAGAAGAAAAAATGAAAACTTAATTCAACTTTTACTTCTGTTCATGAGAGAGAACAATCCCTTTTGACTTAGATTGATAATGTTTGTTCAATGATGAAAACTCGAATTGAAGTTGTGTTTATACTCACCTGTCTTAATTTGTATCGTCGAACAGGATCCACTTGCAACATACATCGTATAACTTGTTCACAAGAAGTTGATAAATAAAATGGAAAACGTACAAGACCACGAAGTACTTGTGTACGAATATCACCAAGGGATTCACCGGGAAATGGAAATGAACCACAAACAAGAATATATAAAATAACACCTAAGCTCTAAAATATAAAAGAAAATTAATGTAAATGACATTATTTTTCATAATCGATATTTCATCAGAAATGTTTTCTATACATAGATTATAATTGTTAAGGATTACTACACAATTTTTAGTAAAGATATTTCGAATTAATTGTATTCACGAAAATTCAAATGAAGTTACATTGGACAGACGAACCAATCAGCACTAAATAGACAATTTTCAGTGTATTGCCAAATTTATAAAGTGGAAATATTTGTAAAGATGTATGAACACTACCGTGATATGCCAGTAAATATTTGTTTACAGCTAGGTCTCGCGATCTAGCTTCCTCCTCATTAACAAATACTTTCAGTAGCGTTTTGAGAGTCAAAATAGTTCTCTCAAAAAATCCGTTGCTTTTTGGATGGTAGGCAGTTATTCGTGTTTTGCGAATTCCCAACACTTGACATGATTCTTTGTAAAAATGTACAGTCTAATCGTTCAAGATTAATAAATAAAATTTTATTGCACAATCAATTTGAAAATTATGAACAGTAAAAAAGAAATAACAAGTTGATTTACTGCCCATGTTTTTTTTTAAATAAAAAGGAGTCAGTGATTAGGAGCAAAAGAAAACAAAACTAGAAAAACATAACACTGTAACAAGGAGGTTATCACTCCTTCAAAGTACGTTTCTTAAAAGAAGAAATTAGTTACCCAATTACTAACCTTCTCATTTGTCATTTATTTTATTGTGCTGCATTGATTGTATCCATTTCATTATTTCAATTCGAATTCTTTTGCTTCCTGTTAATTTAATTATGTATTAACATAGTACAAACAATAGATGTTGGCAGGGTTCATTTTACCTATTTAAACGCTTGTCTGAGTGAAATTATAGATAGACGAGGACGTTTAAAATGTTTTGCTTAAGATACTGGGAAATAACTATTTACCACTAAAATAAATGTTTTCCAAAAACATTTGTTTCATATAGTCAATGATAGTCATCGATTACCGTTAATTTGAAAGTAAATCAGTTAAATGAATATTAGGGAAGAGAAATTAACGTCGAATTTGGTAGAATGTCTTGTATATGGGATGTGGTTCAAAATGGGGAAATGATGTGGAAGACTGTAATAAACAGAATGATACTGAACATAAGATCTAAAAGAAGATAAGGAATGAATGGAATTACGTCTTAGAGTGAACTTTAGGTCATATCTCTCACAGTCTTCAATCATATATTACAATCACTGTGCAGGTCTCAAAAAGAACCTTTGGTGATACAAACAGCTCAGGTCGACAGTTAATTACTGATAGTTTATGTCTCGTTTTTGTGCGATCAAGCTTCGATGTTTTTCGACATGCACATATTTCAGTTAGATTAGGTGTCAAGCTAGACTTTGTTTAAGCATAAACAACCCATTGGAACCACCTCAGTCGATGGAAATGATGTTCAGTGAAATAATTTATTACATATTCATGAATATTGAATTGATAATCTTTGATAAGCCATATAAGACAAATATTCTACGTATTATGAAATTCGCAACGTACCCATACATCGGCCAATGTTCCATCGTATGGTTCACCTTTAAATAATTCCGGTGCAGCATATTGAGGACTTCCACAATGTGTAGATAATAATTGATCGTTTTGAAAAAAATTGCAAAATCCAAAATCTATCATTAAATTGGAAAGAGATTAGCTAAAATATACTGGTAATTCATTTTGTTCGAACAAAAAAATACGTGATCTTTAGCTTAATGGCTCCTATTTTGAGAAGAAACTTTGATAATATGTGTGCTTTTTTGACATGTAATGAGAGGAATTATTTAAAACCTAGGATAAGTTGTAACTATTTATGTGATTCGATAACACAATAATCATCTCTTGAACAAGAGATCCAACTATGAAAGATAGTTCAATTAAGTTCAATTAAATCTTTTGCATGAAGTGATAATGGATATTAAAAAACATTTTTTATCACTCGAAATTTGCAAAACACAAAGGAAAAACTGTAATAAAAGTACTTCGAAAAAAATTATTAAATAATTATCGGTATAGGGTTGTAGAGATTGTTGAATTTCGTCGAAACCGTTATCCTTCCAGTGTTAAAAAACCATTGAAAATCTGGAAGCTATGGACAGCCGTTTCGTTTGAGAATGGGTCTTCTCATTAGTTTACATCCACGATCCCGCACACTGGAATCAAATACAGAACCTCCGGTCTCGAACGCGAACGCTTAATCTTTAGATCCCTGAGCCGGAATCCAACGGTGTTAATGTCTGACTTCAGTCAATCCAAGTTATTGTTCGACCATCTTTCATTTTCTTAACTGCCTCACACCCAACACAGTTGAACCCACTGTTCACGGATTCTCGTGGGAACTCCGTGAATTCTCTCTCCAAGCTAGTCACATGATAATTGCCGGTATAAGGGTTGTGGAAATTATTGAATTTCATTGAAATCATGAACAGAGGGATGTAATTTTCCATATATTTGACAGGGAATTTAACATTATTTATAAAAAATAACTAGTAATGCAATGAATAATTTTGATTTGTTTGACAGAAGGGATCCATTCTGTTGGTTGGTATAAAGTTTATATTAACAGCAGCATATACTTATAAGCTGATCACTTTTTAATCTTTTGAATCAACGTTTTAGTGACCATATTTTATGAATATAAAACAGCCGTCCATGGAAAGAACGCGCATAACAACGGCGTTGAATAGATTAGGGAGGCTTTTGGTAGAAATATTGATAAGATTTATAATAATGATAATAATAATGGTAATAATAGCTCTATTGATGATAATAGATTTTAGTGCAGAAATAATTCTCAAATTAAATTGTAAAATGTAATCCATTTCCCAATTGTGAGTTTCATATACATGGATTTAAGCTTTATTGTTTAATTATGGGCTATTGGTATTAATCGTCTGATCTAATTTTGATCAATTTCTTAGACAACCTCTCACTTCTACCTACATAAAGCAAAATAATAATTTGAATCACTAACACTCTAAAACTTTAACTAATTCGAGAGCAATCTCCCAAAACCATCACACAAAATGACTAGTTCCATATTTTGCGCAACGGTTACACTTCTCAAACATATGATTCTATACAGTAATAAGGTCAAAACAGTCTGTAGATGCAGCTTTGTAAGATGTTAAACAAATTTTCGCTGATTTCACAAAATAATAGTCACAATAAATAACTGAAGTTGAAAAGTATAGATGTGCGCTGTTAAAAAGTTCCAAATAAGAATGAAACCATTGACCAGTCATTTTTGATTTTCCAAGATAAAAACTTAATTTCAAATTGAACAAATCATCAGTTACCTTTAAATCTTTGAATCATATGTGCAAATGTAGCTTACCGGCAACTTTAATTTTGAAATCAGCGTCTAATAAAAGATTTTCTGCTTTTAAATCTCGATGTACAATACCTGAAGCATGACAGAATTCGATTGCACAAACAATTTGCCAAAATAATTCTCTAGCTTCTTTCTCCGTAAATGCATGAGATAGACTTATATGATCTGATAGAATAGAACAGAAAATAAATTGAATCGACCATCCACTATAGTATGTAATTAGTACGTCTGTTTATAGTAATATTTAAGCTATACAAATCAACCTATAAAATATTACGGTGGGTAATAATTATGTATTAATAATTATAATTGAGCAAGATTTTCCAAAGTTGTGTCAGTGATCTGCGATTGGTTAAATAAGAAACCAGAAAACACAACCTGACCAGTGATATTGGCCAAGTATCGCCCATTACCACAAATTCATTAGTGTTGAAGTTGTTAACAAATGGTTTCAACCAAGTATTTTAAAACTATCACACTTGTCGTTAGAACTGGAATTTCTAGACTCAACCCTCGTGGTATCATGAATATGTACTACCAAGTAGTACATTGCTTGCCAAACAATCATTCAGTGCTCCCTAATTTGTGTCCAAAAAATCTTTAAATCATATTGTATTCGTCAAATCCATAATAATCTGTTTGCTTTATCAATGCTTATTACACAAAACATTTTGACGATTTTATCTGTGAAGTATATTATATACTGTCCATTGAGTATCAGTATCAATTAACCTAAAACAGTTGGTGCTTATATATATGTTGGACAGATAGCATCATATTATTAAATAACCTTTTGTTCTTCATCTTTTACACTTTTCTATCATCATATCATGGTTTTTAGTTTCAAAGTGTGATTATTTCAATGTCAGATTTTCTACTTAATGTCAGTTGCTTAGTAAACCATTGTATGTGTATCATGAGAAGCAATGTGAGAAAGCAGATCAGTAAATTAATATTCGCCAAGAGTACCGTCTCAGAAGAATACTGATATCTGATTGAATCAAAGACAACTAAAGCTAACAGACTTCAGAAGAATGATTGTAACACAGTAGTAATCGGCGTTAAGCAAGCTTAGACTGTGAATGTCGATCACGTAACAACAAAAACGAAATTTACTGTTCAGTAGATTACAGCCTATGAAAACGTTATATAGAAACGTTATATAAAACGTTATATATATATATATATATGTAGAAGAACTTTAATTTCAAGAGGCCGTATCAGTTTTATTCAGTAGCAACGTTTAGTTAATTCTATTTGAATCTTATGCAAGGTAAGAGTATAATAGTCGAAATAAGATTTGTGAGCATTTGAAGTAACATAGTTTCCCATTGAGATAGAGTCACTTTGTGTGGTGTCTTTTTCAGTAACAACATCAAAACTAATGAGCTGACACATGGACAAAATTAAACTCACCGAATACCTCTCCTTTACTAGCGTATTCAGTAACCATAAAAATATTTGATTCTGTTTCCATAACATGATATAAACGGATAATATGTGGATGTTGACAACGTTTCATAGCTTCAAGTTCTCGTGAGACTTTGCCAAGGTTTTTAGAACCAATCAAATCTTTGTTCATAATTTTGATGGCGACCTAGAAAGATTTACAAAAGTAAAAGAAAGTAAGAAGCGACAGAAGAAAATGTATTCAAATTGCCGCTTCGTTGAATTCGTTCAGGAAAAACACATTTTTGATCTTTAAAAGAATTGAAACTCCTCTCCCTTCTACACTGTTTTGTAAGTGATTGGCTACAGTTGTATAAAAAATGATTTTTCCAATTTGAAACCATCTCGTACGGTATTAACTTTAGCGCATATACAGTAAGCATGAAGTAAAGTAAAAAACTCAGTAGACGACTGATCAAATGCGAGCTTATACGAAAAACTATGAAGTCAATTTGTTGCATATTCACTCACGATAATACTAAGCTGCTCAGATCAGAATGACGTAAAGTAGTATGTGAGCACGTGAATGACCCGTAACAAACGTAAAATGTTAAGGAAATAAGTAAAGTCTGTACTGATCACCGCTTATTGTGAGAATGTATCTTCTCATATTTTGTACTGTCTGATAACTAAAACCTACCTATTAACTGAAATTACATCAAAAAAGGTCAAGTGATATGATCAGCAAGTAGCAACAGAAGAGTTTAACAAAAAAAGACAGTAAATAATAAAGCACAATACTTTCTGACACTGCCTAGATCACTTCATATAGTTTAACAAGTCTATATATTCCACTTTTGAAAGCTATGATAAGAGTTTAAAATTTATCTGTTAAAATGTCTTCGCTAATACATCACATTCAGATGTTTAGAAAATGACAATTAAACGACTGTAAAATGATGACTATATAATGTTACGCAGATTGAACCTATTTTACTTTGAATAATTAAAATGATGAAAATGAATAAATGCCAGATCATAAACAAAGCTCAAACTTATTATGTTACGTTTCATTTGACATGTTGAATGGTTTTTAGACAAAGAAAAAGAGAATTATAAATTTAAGAGTTTATTTATTTATTTAAACATTGGTACGGGGAGGTACCAAATATATATGTGCCACACAAATCCTTTTATTTGTGCGGGGACGGGAATAATGCCCGGGCGCGCAAACCGAAGAATGTTCTTTTCTTAGGAGGCCAACACCCGACGCTTTGACCTAAATGTCTAATCCACAGAGCGGTAGAGCAACGTTAGGAGATGCAGTCCCATATTAGCCAGTGACGAACAATAGGTTTATAGGCCATTTATTTGCTCAGGATCCTGGAGCCTGGTTTCCCAACTCCCCTAGATGCATCCTCAATATCGAATAACATTAGGATCACTTCAATTTTTTTTAATAATTTTTTTTGTCCCCCTTAATCAAAAAATTTTCATCCCATTTTCCAATTTTTTTCAATCCCTTTCGTCCAATGAAATTCCTAGTTGTAAATGCGTTGTAATTGGTTATGTAATTCTTGAAATTCGTATAAAAGCTCTGTACTTATGGATATAGATAATTTTCTTCACAATATGGACGTCAGTAACGTGCAAATTAGAGGCTCTGTTGTTCCTCACGTAGTCACAGAAACTGAAAATGTATTTTTGAATACATTGTATCTGGTAGCGTTTCCATCACTGGAAGCGTTAAAGAGCGCCATTAGAACTTATGAAATAGCAACGTACTGCCATTATGCGGTGAGAGATTCTAATTTCCATGGAGATCGGAAGCCGTATATTAAATTTGTATGTTGGAGAAAGAGCTATAAAACACCAAGCGTTTCTTCGCAGCCGATTAGACGAAGGAGGTAAATTGATTAGTGTTATTATATTGTTCATTGAGGACTTCAATGGACACACAATGTCCGGCCTTCATCTTTTGTAAGTTTCTTGAAGGTTATTGGACTGTTGTTCGTGGGAATGTGCATCACAATCACGAGTGCAATTCCCTGAGGTACGACTGTAACACATGGATGCGCCGATTAACGGGAGCGGAATTTGAATCAGTGAAGCCACTGCTGATATCTGGAACATCAGCATTCAATGTGATACACTACGCGTACCAATCATATGGGAAACGTCTTACAGCTCAAGATGTTTTCAATATGCGTTACAAAGTGTTCTCACAGGCCAACCTTCCTGGTAAGCAATGTGCATATTTATACTATTAACTGTAGGTGATTACGGTAAGTTGAAAAATCACATCACGTCACTTGGTGGCCTTTGTGATTATCAATTGGATGCAGATCATAGTCTGTTGTACTTCTTCTTCGCTACAGCAGACCAGATCAATCTGTGTAACAGGTTTTTAGATGTTGTTGGTTTTGATGGGACATACAAAACCAATAATGAAAACATGTTTCTTTATCACGTGGTGGCTTTGGACATGAATTTCATGGCAATACCTGTTTGTATTGCATTTGTAAGTCGCGAAACATCGACTTTGCTGTCCAGTTTCCTCTCGTTCTTCCGCCAAATGAGTAACAATAGAGAGGTTATCGGTATTGTTACCGACGATTCACCTGCTATAGCTGCTGCCATAACGCAGGTGTATCCCAATTCACACCACCTTTTGTGCCGCGTGCACCTTCTTCGAAATGTCATCAAGAGGGTAAGCTTTCCTTTCTTTACAAATAACCCATTCATCGTATTCGTAGAGGCTACGATCTGATCTTCTTCAAATGTTCTACCGTCTTATGCTAACAAGAAATGTGGAAAGGTAAATCGAAATATGCTTTACAATGTATTGTAGCTTCCAACGGTATGTGTCATTTATCGAAACAGCAGACGGGAATTTCTACCAATATTTGAGAGATCAGTTATTGTCCAAAAAGCACAAGTGGTCGAACGCTTTTAGACCAGCTGCAATGCTTCTAGATCAAAGCAATACAAATTTCGTTGAGACGACCCATCGAATTTTAAAGTTGCATAAGCTGAACAGAAAAACACCCGTGTTCAGATCGATATTTAGTGTTCTGCTTCGCACTGGATATTGGATAGAAGCTAGAGTTCAAAAGTACTCCACTGAATGCCGTAGCAGGGCTGTGCTGGGTCGCGAGCCTCAACTACGTCGTCTTCAGGAAACACTTACACCTGCTGCATGTAAACTGCTTAAGCGGCACATGCGTGTTCCTGTTACTGACTACGTATTGTCGGGGGAGTTTTTCACGGCCGTTGATACTACAGGAACTTACAGTCTCCAAAAATCCTATTAGTTGTTCCTGTTTCTTTTATGTAGAACACAGAGTCGTATGTCGTCACATCTTGGCATATTGTTCGCACGATAATCTCGAAGTTCACAGAGAAAGCATTGGTGACAGATGGCTGCATTCCAACAGCTTCGTAACCACAGTAACGATTGCCAATGAGTTACCGGTACAAGTCGGGCAGACAAACGTCCAAACATCGATTCACTACTTGTGTCGGCGTATGTCTGCTGAACAGCTTACCGCTGTCCTTAACTATTCTCATCAGTTGCTTAACGATGGAATACCTACTACCATCACAATGCCCGTCGTCCGAAATACCACAGGCACCAACCGTCAACAGAACGTAGATTTGGATGCTACCTTAAATGATGACGAGATGGAAGTAATATCTATGAACTCAGAAGAGTTCACGGACCGAGACAATGAAGAAGACGAACGTGCGCACAATGACCGACTGTGTGATATTTGCCATCTATGTCAGCCGCCCAGTGAACTAGGTGATGGAAGTGCTTGGATTTTTTGTCCATGCAACGCTATGTTTCATTCGTTCTGTGCCTACGACCCAACAGAAGTATCACCTGGGTTCAACTGTCCCATGTGCGGCGCTGTCACGGACTCATAGTGGAGTCATCGATCAGGACCGAAGGAGCTGTGTAGAGACCGAGTAAAGGCCCTTTTCAGGGCCACCCACAATTTGATTTAAATTTTGTTTGAATTTCTTGTTTAAATTTTAAGGAGGAGTCATGAAACCATCAATAATTCATTTCACATTCATATGATTTGGTTACTAGGTACAGTAGAGAAATGTAGTAAGATCAGTTCACTAGTACAACAAGATCTTTTCTATTGCTAAGGTCAAGTGAACAGACACTGATCGGTCATCACAATTCCATAGTAATTAAGCTGTAGATTAATAATTATCATCGCTCACTTTATAATTTTGTCAACAGCTTTCCAGGTTTTTCAAATTTACGGTTTCAGTGAACGATTCCGTACAGAAAACAACGTCATATAATGAACATTAATCTGTCGAACAAAAGTTTATGCAAAGGTGTGTACGATCATTCCAATCTCTTTTCACTTAGCTAAGGTAGACGATTGTACTGAGATCAGTTCATTAGTACAACAACATAATTTGTATTAAGAAGGTCAAGTGAACATACACTGATCATTCATCACAATTCCATAGTAATGAAGATGTAAAATAACTTTTTCTAGATTAATAATAATACAGTGATCATCGATCAATTTATACTTTTTTCAACAGCTTTTAAGGTTTTTCAAATTTAAGGTTTCAGTAAACTAATCCGTACAGAAAACAACGTCATATAATGAAGACTTACATATCTAACAAGTCATTAATAATAATCATAATAATAATAATAGTTATAATAATAATAATGGAACATACGAAATGTAATAATAATGTTTCATATGAGATTTATCACTACATAGCAAAAATTCGATACAGTGATGAATGTCATTTAGACATTTGATAAATAAATGTACAGTTTAACTTAACAGATTGAAATACGATATTCTAAATACATAATGGTTACTTGATACAATTGACCTTATTCCACATTAAGTCATATCATTGAAATAGAAATTTATTTCACTAGACATAGGCTTGTTCATTGACACTTCATTCAACCTATATTACACATATGCTTGTCAAAGAAGGTTATTTTTTCAACATTCAGCGATTTACTGTTTGACAGTTTAAGAGTAATTATTATGTCTTTGTGACGGAAAATGTACATAGTTTTTCATTGTTCGTCCAGTATGTTTAACAAAGGAAACTGTTGGATTTGGAAATATAATTTCAGTCTTTCTAATTAATTAACGTTTGCAATGTTATTTACTAATGAAAATAAAAAATTCAGATCATTCATTTGAAAGGCTGTGCACTTAAAAAACATTGGCTGTTAACATCACCTGCCAAAAAATATTATGCCCACCTCACAAATACAATTACCGTATTACATGACTGAGTACACTAACATGTCTTTTCGGTGATCATTAATAAGTGATCAACTACAAATAATCTACAGGTCAGCATATTTTATGCTTTGAATGGATTTACAAAAAATCTTGATAACCTTGATATTGCGTTCATTTTCGACACCCTTTCCAATGCTAAAATGATCAACTTTTTAATATTAAGAATAACGGTTTGCAAAATAACTGAATTATAAAGATTATTTGCTTTTTTCTCAGACATTATTACTAATTTCAGACAGCGTAAAAGTTGCTTCATTTACCCATCTTTTACGGTTAGCGTGACTTCGGCATGACCCATTCACTTTCTCTTTATCATGATTTATTCATATACTTACACGAATATAACGTTTATTAAATGAGCGAACTATGTGTTAAATTAACTTATGGGAATACTTAAACCAAAATGTGTTCACTAATTGTGTATTAAACATTTGAGACTACCCTTTGCAAATTCAATAATCACCATTATATCAACTATTATGTAACAGCTGTCAGTTTTTTTCAAAAATTAACTTTCAATGATCCACAGATTATTATTACTACTCTTGCCACGACGATAACAGATAACTTTAGTTGCATTTGTACTTCATAAAAAGAAATTACATTCACTAACAGGAGTATAGCAGGGTAATGAAATGGATTTGTTTTTGTTTTTTTCGAAGTTAAAATTTTTTACAAATCTCAGACGGAACAATGCGAAAATAGTTCATTATTGTAAATAATAATCGAATGGAAAAATGTCAATTCTTACATCCAATAAAAGCACTTTATTCTAGTTCGATTTGAACGAATCAAATTGCAAAACTGCACCATTTACAGCCAATTAAAAAATTATTACAGGTGACAAAATGTTTGTTCATTTGCACTTGAGCACACACTTTCAAAAACAAATTCACCAATCACCAATTGCTAAATTTTTTTCATACCCTTTAATTTCCAAAAAAGGGGGGTAGGGGATTATACGTGCAGTGATTCTAATGTCAACCATATCCATCAACTCGGTTGAAGCATTGGACGTTCGCTTTTCGTTCTCTCGATTTCATAGACAGCATCCCTGCCACGAGAAGGTAGTGCGTAGGATATCCCTATCAGTGGATGTATACGGGTGATCATGTGAGAACATTTGGAGGAGAACTGACTCTCTCCACACCCAGCCGTATAGGGCATTTGAGCGCACAATTTAAGAATTCCTTGGAGTAAACGCTACATGCTAGTCATTTCAATATTAAATATCGTTTATTTTATTTTCCCAACAATCCTAAATTCATAAATTTCAGCACCGAATGACGTATTCACTTTGAAAGTGGTTAAGAGTTTAAAACTATGAAAAATACTAAATCACCACAAAATCCTTTCTGATAATTAACATAAATTTGAATTGATAGTTGCAGAATTCAGTGAGAACTGAATGAAAAAGAATATTCTTTATTCATGTACCTATCCTCTAAATATAATGAAAATTCTTAAATAATTACTTGAAATATTCATGAAATCTTGTCTTTTAAGAAATGTATTGATATTTCTTTATATAGTTGAAGTCATGAGTCAATTGAAGCTAGACCACCATCGAAAACCTGGAAGCACTGGACGGCCGTTTCGTCTTATTGTGGGACTCCTCGGCAGTAAACATTCACGATCCCGCCTCGCGAGAGTCGAACCCAGGACCTATCAGTTTCGCGCGCGAGCGCCTAAACAATGGACCACTGAGCCGGCCGGCATTCAACGGTGTTTATGTCCAACTTCAACTAATCCACGAAGTTGAGCAACCATTCACCAATGTCTTCAGTGAGTTGATATCTCTCAACAGACCTGGTTATTGATGATAAAATTTTTATAAAATTTTCACAATATCCTTGATAATAAATCAGAATTGAATCCTTCCTCGAATATGTAACTCATAGCCGTTGATAAACTATTAAAAATCTATCTCTAAATACGTTAGTCAAATTGCTCATTCACTAATCTTCAGAGAATGCAGCAATTATGCAATTTACAAGTGAAACAGTGCAGTGTTGAGTACAAATAGAATTTTAAGCAAAATTTAATTTCTGCTCAATCGGTTACAATAAAATACAGCTTCAGTTTGATTTAAATAAATTACCTTTACAGATAATTGAGAATGTTTGCCTAATTTCACCACAGCAAAATTACCCCGACCAAGTGTGGGACCTAAATAATATGGTCCGATACGTTGAGGACCATTTGGCTGAACAGTGTTATTGTTATTTGATTCAGATACGTTATTAGAATACCCCACTGTTGGCATCCCATAATCACTTGTTCCGGGCACCGGAGGAGTTATTGTCGCATTTATTGCTTGTTTTGAAATGTGATTATTATTGTAATCTTGTTTAGACTCTTCTAAGGTTGATGAAGATGTGATATTCATAAGTGATTGTTCATTTTTTGTAGGTAGAACTGGGAAATTCGACATTTGTTGTTCACTGTCTGTTTCACTGATATCTTTCAAAAAGAAGATAATGATTGAGCGTATAAGAAACAGAAATTTTGTACAAATAAAATTTTGGGTTAAAACTTCCACATCTTTACTTATCATATTATAAAAAGGTCAGTTGTCTTTATATTTAGTTGTATTCTCTACCAGATCAGTTGAAACTTGGACGTGAAAAAAATGGAGTATTCTGACTATTAAACACTTCAATGACTTTTTTCTTATCTTTTGAACATTTTAAAAGTGCTTATTATAAAACAGAAAATCTTCTTTCTTAACGAAGATAGGATCTGAACTGATAGAGACAACTCCTTAAATGTATTTCGTAGGAAAGAAGATAAAATAATTGAGGAACAAGATAACAAGAATAAAGATAATAGTATTCATATTATACAAATCGTAATAACCTATTTGACTTTTAATTTCTCATGTACTTTTAATACGATCTTCACCAAAATCATTATTTTTTATTCTTTCAAAATCTAGATCTATTCATTTTCATTCATGCATAACACTAGTTCATTCAATATAACTAGGTAAATGCCGTAATATGACAAAATCAGGTATAAAATGGTCCTAATATTGTTGAATTTTGTCGAAATAATTTTATTAATTTAATAAAAGGGGTACAGTTGAGAGAATAAAGGTATATTTTGAAACAAACGTTCCGTGAACTACTCACCATTTTTTCTTTTGCATAAAGTTTGAGAAAATTGAGCCAATAAATTATCACCATGAATTGGACAAATCAGTCCTGTTAAAAAAAAAACACATTGGTTAAATAAATTGAAACCTAACTTGAATCTGTATGTATATGTGAAGTGAAAATTTAAGATCTGTGATCAGAATAAATATGGGTCAGATAGGGTGAGAGAGATATGATAGTGCGATGACAATTCGATCAAGTGGAAGATTAAATTGTGTGAAAAATTAGTAAGACGTAACATGGAGGGATCAATGCGAAGTGAATGGATCATGTATAGGGGAGATTAATAATGATGTTTAACCAATAATAATAATAATAAAATACAAAGATTTGTGAATAAAGATAAGATAGACAATTACATTTGACTACGAAAAGTCGCAAGTACATAGTCAAATTAGGCCATCCGTTAGCTAAGACCACTATTGATTAATTGGCCTTGTGGTTGGCCAAGGGGTTGAAAATATTTCTTCTGTACACATAGGTCCGGTTTCTTCATCCTGATGGCTATTGCCTCCGCCATTTGAAGAAATTTAAACCTGACAAGCTTTGGCAAAAAAATTACTGACCCTATAAATAGTTGAAAAGGATTGGTTTATACTGGCACTATGACCAGTTTGTACTAAATGGGCCAATATCGAGCTGTTTACTTTCTTCACCAGACCTGTACTTAGCCACGCTGGGAGGTGTTCACGAGCACAAAAATGTAAATTCCTAGAATTTTGACCAAAATAACTTGCTCCACAGGAGCAGTCGAACTGATAAATACAAAATGAGGTCGTCATTCTAGGTAATTCATCTTTAAGCCTCGGTGTCACCATTGGGCGCGTAGTTCACCGGCGTTGAAAGATTATTGGGTTGATCTGCGTGATCTCTGAGTTAGTATTTCGCTAGCTGCATCCCCTCTAAATTGTAGGCGCATGAACAGGGACTTCTTCTTGACCGTTTGAATTCCTCCTATTTTCGCTTTCATGATCATATATTTAATTATATACCTTCTGGGGTATCCGTTCTCCCTCAGAGCATTATACAAGGTGTTTAGCTCATCTTCAACTACATCTGCTGAACATAAAGTGCGTATTCGGTAGCTAAGGGTTTTGATCAGGTTTCGTTTGTACTGTAGAGGCACAAAGCTAAGGAAATGTGTATACTGCCCAGTCGAAGTACTTTTTCTGTTTGTATTTCATTTTAACGACCCATCTGCTCTCTCAGTTAAGAGGACGTCCAAATAGACTGTTCGGCCATCACTCTCTTCCTCCGATGTAAATAGTATGACTGGATGCACTTCGTTAAACTGCATAAGAATGTCTTGCTGTGATATATTATCTTTACACAGGATGAATGTGTCATCCATATATCAACAGTAAAATCTGAATTTTTGAATAATCTTTTTTAGTGGATCGTTCTCTAGTTTGGCTAGAAATATATCAGCTAGTATAGGGCCCAGAGGTGAACCCATTGCAACACCATCTGTTTGTCTAAATATTTCTCCTTTGAATTTGAAATTCACATTCATGGTGCATTTCAGTAATAACACTTTCACGACATTAATCGGAACTGTAATTTCGATTTCATCTTCAATCAGTTGCTCCCCTATATATTCTACGGTCTCTATGAGTGGGACATTTGTGAATAGTAATGTTACATCCCAAGACATCATCTTTAGTCCCAAAGTGTTAGCATTTTTGGCTTTATCAACAAATTGAAATACATCCTTAACACTATGTTTTACCAGCTTTTCTTGGATAAAGTTACCAACCATTTAGCTATAGTATGATAAGGAGAGTTATATATATCTAAAATAGGTCGTAATGGGATTCCCAGTTTGTGTGCCTTTGGTAATCCATACAATTTTGGCAGATAGGTTCCAAATGGTTTAATCATTTTAACCTCATTTGACTATGTACTTACGACCTTTTGTAGTCAAATGTAATTGTCTCTCTTATCTTTATTCACAAATCTTTGTATTATTATTATTGGTTAAACATCATTATTAATCTCCCCTAGACATATTTCATTCACTTCGCATTGGTCCCTCCTTGTCACGTCTTACTAAATTTTCACACAATTTAATCTTCCACTTGATCGAATTATAATTGCATTACAACTTATTCTTAAACAAGACATCATTTGAGCATCAAACTAGATTTATTTTTCATTTGTATAAATTCACTTCTCTCTTAAAAATACGTTTAAATCACAGTAGCCACTTTTGGTCTACTTCGTTTCCAGGCCAATTTTTCCAACTTAATCTGTAATTACTAATAGAGACTCAGTTTATCAATTACTACGGAAACTTTCAATTAGTTACATTACCAGACGTCAACAGAAAGAAACAGTCAACAAATATGAACATGGGGAACGTGCAGAGACAACCAATAAAAAAGAGTTTTAATAGAATAATCTTATTAGGAGGTTGTGGAAAAATTCTTGATAAGCTCATTTTTATTCGAAGTAGGCGCAGGTGATGTTATCCAGTATGGCAGTTAAAGCTGAGGAATTAAACTGTTTGACCTAGGACAAATGACACCAAAAAAGTTTTTCCCTAAGCTACAAATTTCCATATGTCAGGGTTAATGAATGTAAGTCTATTATCAGATTGTGACTAGCGGTGAGATCTATGGGAACTGTTTCATCCTACTTAGAAGTCATGAAATGAATCCACCTAGATTACTCTGTTAATCTCCACTCTGATACCCGAACCCACTATCTATTCCTTCAAAATTTAACCCGTTCACCAAGCTACTGGTTTGATCGGAGGGTAAGAATTGCAAGGCTTGAACATATGCCAGGAGAGATTGGCGTAATGAAATCTTCGATATCAACAATGGAGAGATACGAGTTTTAACAAATAACGAATATTAGTTAACCAACTGGCGTGCATGATGAACAAAACTTTAGAAACACTCGCAAAATTCTCCAATCATTAATAAGAAATTATGAATAGTTTTAATCGTCGATTGATATCAGTTGGAGAACCATGAAAAATTAGAGCGGATTTAAGAATCGTCTCCCCATAGCTCGGGACCACTCATTAGCGCACACAAACGTTCACGATAACTTATGATCAAGGTTAGCTATAGGTTATACAAAATTCCCATGAAACGTAATGATATCTTCTAACTTGATTTCAGCTGATAGATATTTTATATGATTAGTAAATTAAATTACTACAGGAAACCTAAATCCAAACGTTTCAGATATTTAAATGAGGAAGTTATGAATTAATATATTAGTCATGAGTAGATCAATATTCCCACTTATCATGTTCGTAAATATACACATTCTCGACTTTACAACATAATTGATATCATAAATAGACCAATGTTAGACCACTATTGAAAATCTGGAAGCACTGAATGAGAGTTTCATCCCACTATGGGTCTCCTCAGCAGTGGGAACTCAATATCCCAGGACCTTCGGGATCAGTTTATGATCTTAACTAAAACTCAACAATCTCTACAATCATATACTAAAAATTTATAACATAGTTTTTTAAATAAACTAATCAACTAGTAGTCATAATGTAAAAGGAAATGTAGAAAAAGGAGAATGATGGGGATGAATTTGAAGGAATGATAATGATGTTGGTGTCGAGGAGAAAAAAGTGAAAAAATTGAAAGAAAATAGATACGAAAGAGTGGAATCTAAATAAAAGTTGGTCATCAAAATAAGAATAGGAAGAAAGCATTTCATTTATATAAATATACAACTATATATATTACAAGGTGAAAAACAACCTACATCATTTCAACTGAAAATACATAGTAGTAACGTGCCGAAATCTCACAGACTTACGTGGCCATAAATTAGAAGGGATAATCTGCGATAGCAAATTTTGACTAAACTTGGATAAATCGATCTTAATAGACGTACTGTGAACAGAAGGTGACACAGAGTTCATATTGGCATGTGCTGGTGTTTGTGATAAGAGATTAACGAAGTCGTTTTTAGGTGTTGGAACAGGTGTTGTGTTCATTTTTATATCATTTGGACCTGAAGAGTCTCCATAATTTTTATGAGCTGCTAGTAATGTAGCATACTGAAGTTGTTCAGCATTTTGAACTGAAGATTCAGCATATAAACTACGACGCATTGCCTGATTCATTATAGCCGTTAATGCGACGCTAGGCAAAGGATGTAAATCTACACTACCAAAGCGTTTTTCACGCGCTTCAGTTTCTTCAGTCGATGACGAAGCACTGCTACCACATATGGTCCCTTTATTAAATGCACTTGAACAAGACAGCCTAGATTTATCACTACCACTGCTACCGTTCTTACCACCACTGCTTTGACTATTTACACTGGTACCTCCCGTTGTTGCACTACCAGTACTACTGCTGGCTCGGCTATCTTGAGGTGGTGGGAAATGAGGGTGGTTACCATAGTGTTGCTTGACAGCTGCTACTGGTGAATGAGAAATGGGCTTGTCGATGGACTCGGTAACTGTTTGTACATCGCTTGGTGCATGGCTGTTTGGTCTTGTTGTAAGATGGCTGTGATTGGCAGACACAGGAACTTTCAGGTTACACTCTTCTCTCTCATTACAAGAAGTCTGTCTATATTTCAGTAACGGTAAAAAAACAGTAAAGCATTTAACAGATATGAGCAAGTACAAGTATCAAACTTAAATAGGTAGCTGCCTACCTCCAATAATCTGAACACCCTCAACTGATGTGGTGGGCCTCAATATTTAAAACGTTTCTTTTCAATACGTAGCACTTTATGGTGTCAAATTTGATTTTATTTACATGCCTTTGTAGAATCAGTCGTTAAACGCACTCACAGAGCTTGCAATAACGAGAACTGTAATTTTAAAAAATAAGTTAGAACCTAATTCTTCAAAACGATGTGAATAGCGTCTTTTACGTTATAAGAAATAAGCAACACATAGTAATGTCTTCGTAGCTTTTCTGCAACAAATACTGGCGAACAACGCAAAGCTAACAATTCCTTCACCAAAGCTCATATTTTACGACTTCATCAGTCCTGTTATGAAATTACTTCGGTCGTGAATTGGTGAAATAGCTTGGGGGTTAGAAAGCAGTTTTTTATAAGCTCGTAAGCTTTACAAAAGTCATGTTTTTCCTCATAGAAACCATCGGGTTATACTTATTTCGCAAATTTGACGAATAAATGCTAGGTAGTTACAAGTTTAATATGAAAATTTGTGAGAAGAATAAATATAAAACCTAATCAATATACGCAAATCTTATCGATACAAAAATGTACCCACGGGAAAGCTACTTCATCTTGTTCCATTTGTCGAAACAGTTGTGCAGGATGTCTTCTTTTCTGTAACCCTCCATTTTCGGCTTCATTGTTTGCCATCTGTGATAATAACGTTCGAAATCTTAAGTCCTTCTAAAATTAGGGCTAGAGATATTTAGTCGGCTCATCGAAATACGAGTATGCTTTTAATGATAACACTGTCTATAAGATGTTGCAGAACGGAGAAACAATAAGTGCCCACTCAAAAACAGCACCTAAAAACGTAAGAACAAACATTATGAGCAGCAGTCCTAGCCGGTTAATGAACAAAGTAGTGCTAAACATTGTTTTGTTAATTAAGGGAGAAAATATGGAGTGTAAAGTCATTCGTCTTTCCCATACAACTACTTAATGGGGGTCAAATTGCTTTTTTCTAAAAGATTTCTAAGTAAAAAGGGAGATTTTATGAAACTAACCAATCGCAAGATTATGGACAAGTATTTTAATGGCTATAATTATCATCATTTGCTTTCAATGGTGAAAAGCCACGATCTTTAATCCAGGGAATAAAATCGTTTTAGAAAGGTTTATCATGCTCAACAAATCTGCTCATTGCAGAGAAGGATAGAAATATTCTAGATGCAATTTTTATGAACATTGACATGGTCTCTCATCTGAGTCTTAAGTTAAAACTGGAAAGTTTTGGGATCCATTATGAAACCATAAACTGGAGAACTGACTCTCTCAACGATAGGGAAAATCGGGTACGGGCGAATGGAACCCAACCAGTGGGAAGTTCCACAAGGTGCAATCCTCAGTCCCCTTTTGTTTACTTTATTAAAATGATTTACTGACTGCAGAAAAAAGTCATCTGTTTTACTCTTTTCAGATGACATAAACATTTGGAGACTCATAAACAGTAGGTCAAACAGATAAATATTACAAGATGACCTAACTCCACTGGTTGAATGGATGGATAGGCGATCATTAGAAGTTAACTCTAACAAGAATGTGGTGATGTAAATAAATAAATGCGACAATCAGCATATGGAGTTGTATTAAGTGAACTAATGGACTATAAAGACATAGGAGTCATAATAAGGAATGACCTCGAAACAAAGAGTACCTACTAAGCTGTCTGCGTCAAAAGTTTCAGGGTCTCGGCGTATTTGTAAGTCATTTCTATAACCGAACGAAGAAATGTCTAGGGTGAAGCACCCGACTTCGTGAAGCCCCTTCTGGAATATGGGATTCAAGAAGTGAGTTCCTGTTTTAAATATGAGGAGAATGTGCTGGAATGAGTTCGACGAAGGTAGACCAAAGTGGTGAAAGTTCTCTTTGGACAATCTTATGAAAAAAATGACCTCTCATCTTATTTCCGCTATCGTACAACAGGTTGGGAGGCCTATCGTATACTGACCAACGATATTGGAATTAATATGTTTCATCATCTTCTGACATTTAGGGATGATCATCCGAGAAGTTGTTCTAGGAAAGTTCAGAACCTGAAACCAAGTCATTTACGTCTAAAGTTCCGTTCCTCGCACATAGTAGTAAATTACAGAAGGCTTCTTCCAGAAAACAAAATATCAGCGGTCTGTTGTCACGGCGATATTGAAACTATACATTTTAACACACTGCAAGGATCACTATAGACCTATAAACTGAAAATCCCTATTCCCGAAGAATTTTAGTAGCTCCGTGATATTCAGGAAAAGATGATATGTTCACTATTTCCCTATATTAAACGATAGCAGATACTTTCTTATCCGTTTTCACTTTGTTTCTTTTTTTCTTCTGAAGTAATATCTACCTTTGCCCTCTTTTTTGTTTGTTTTGGATATTGTGAAAAGTTTTAGACCTTTCTTCTCATCCTTTCAGTTGGAAACTTGTTATTAAAAATAACACATACATTGTAAAAGCATACATTCACACTGACTATTATCACAAAACTAGTTCAAAGTGAAACTAGCACAAACAAATTACGGATTCAAGAAGTGAGTTCCTGTTTTAAATATGAGGAGAATGTGCTGGAATGAGTTCGACGAAGGTAGACCAAAGTGGTGAAAGTTCTCTTTGGACAATCTTATGAAAAAAATGACCTCTCATCTTATTTCCGCTATCGTACAACAGGTTGGGAGGCCTATCGTATACTGACCAACGATATTGGAATTAATATGTTTCATCATCTTCTGACATTTAGGGATGATCATCCGAGAAGTTGTTCTAGGAAAGTTCAGAACCTGAAACCAAGTCATTTACGTCTAAAGTTCCGTTCCTCGCACATAGTAGTAAATTACAGAAGGCTTCTTCCAGAAAACAAAATATCAGCGGTCTGTTGTCACGGCGATATTGAAACTATACATTTTAACACACTGCAAGGATCACTATAGACCTATAAACTGAAAATCCCTATTCCCGAAGAATTTTAGTAGCTCCGTGATATTCAGGAAAAGATGATATGTTCACTATTTCCCTATATTAAACGATAGCAGATACTTTCTTATCCGTTTTCACTTTGTTTCTTTTTTTCTTCTGAAGTAATATCTACCTTTGCCCTCTTTTTTGTTTGTTTTGGATATTGTGAAAAGTTTTAGACCTTTCTTCTCATCCTTTCAGTTGGAAACTTGTTATTAAAAATAACACATACATTGTAAAAGCATACATTCACACTGACTATTATCACAAAACTAGTTCAAAGTGAAACTAGCGCAAACAAATTACGGAACATTAACCTTCCGAATAACCCTCGTAAAAAGTTCATGATGATATTCAATACTCATTATTCATAAAATAATCTTCATTTCAATAATTGACGAAATAAGCAGTTTTGATTGAGCAAATAAAAATCTCAAAAACTTTATGTTTGTTGTCAAGTCCACTTCATCCAAAAGTTTCGCAGTTTAATAATTCAGTATGCTTATGGTAACATTTATATACCTCCATTTTTGTAACGACGAAATAAAGGCAAATTTTTTATTTAAACTTGAGACACTTGATATGTAGCCACATTTTCATTCAATATATACCGTTTATCCATATCGCTAGTAGATGGACATTTGCTGGGAAGATAACACCAGTATTGTGGTTTGGCAACTCTTTACCGGTAACACCTATAATTGATTCGCACCCACATAGTTAAAAGCAGAAGTCAGAAGCAAGGAGGTTAGAAGATACATTTGATGGGTTATCAATATGTCGAGCAGTGACTGATATAATCTGGTTAATGATGTTTCTCACGCCGTTCTGTAACGTTATCTGGTACAGATGCATGACTGAGGGCCTTCAGCTAAACGAGTCCACTAAAACTAATGTGATCAGCATCCGATGTCTAACGCTTACAGAGCTATTGAATTCGAGGAATTATCTACAGCTAAACATCAATCCCACCCCTAGTGAGGTGGTGATGCTTCTACGACGTACCCAGCCAGAAATTTTAATCCAACGAGTTTGTCGTTGGTAAACACTCTTCTGATAGCTTACTATATTTAGCAGCGTCTGGTCGTCTTTATGCTTCATGCACACGCTCCTGTGGTATTCAAATGAATTTCGTTTCCGTTGACTATTCTTTTGGTTTATTGGTCACAGCCTGTGACTGAAAATTGTCATAGAATTATGAAATCCTTTCAAACCTCTCTATATTACGTGGGACTGTTTTCCTGAATCATTTATATAATAATGTTTATTTTGATATATTATTAATTTTGCTTTATACTACATTATCATAATGTTGTAGTGGATGTCGAGTCGAAGACGGACTATGATCACCACTACAATTCGTTTACGCGCCCAAAAACGACTTGGTTCCTTTGATAGCTCGTAAATCAGAAGGCTTTATTAATCCAGATCAATTGTATTTATCGGCGATCTCGTGGTATCGAAATAATACCGAGACGTGACAAAGAGTACAGGCGAAAAGGCAGTGCATGAGCAAGTTCAAACCAAACAAGGCGGAGAGCGAAAGCAGAAGTGAAACTGATACAGTTAAACAAATACAGTAAAACAATCTCTGGTACAATTGGTTACAATAATAATAATTGTTTCCGTTATTCCAATCGTGTTCTTATCGAGACTGGCCGGTCACTACAGGAGCCCCCCCGCTAGAAAGGGTTTACACTTTCGATACGTAGCGGTTTCGTTCGTGGGACTGATCGCGAAACGTGCAATTGTAGGACGAAGGCGTTGGCAGAACAGGAAGTGATCGTTGATCCTCGAGTTGCCACCAAAAGTCTTTGACGTAGAACGGTACCAGAAGGAATGTACTGTATTGATTGCTTGGATTAGCATGCTACACCAGAGTGGTTTGTATCCAGAATCTGAAGGTTGCGTTTGTAGAGGTCGGGACCAAAAACGCTGCAGACGTAGGACGAAACCAGATTGAGCCAAGGAACCAGATGCGACCAGGATAACCATGTTCGGGACCAAATGTATACCATACGTATTTGGAGCCAGAGAGGTCGACTGAGTGCGTTGACTAGAGCGTGGGTGATCAGGCCAGCTTTCGCCAAAGTTGACTGAAGTCGACGATACTGTAACAGCGATGGTCGGAGGCGTAGGCTCGGAGAAAACAAAAAAAATGAGAGAAAAAGAGAAAAGTGTAGCATTCGTGTAGTATAGGGATAAGGTCCTATACTGGATCCGCTGCTGGTTATGAGGTTAGTCGCGAGAGCGTACGGGTAAGCGTACTCGGCGACCGGAACGTGAGACGGTAGTCTCGTTCAAACCTCGTGAGCCTGCAATCTCATCCACAGTCAAGGGCGGTGTGATCTGCTGGTCTGGACGTGAGACGGAAGCCTCGTCAGTAGACGGGGCAGATGACAAGTGCTGTTGACTGGGACGTGAGAATGAGGTCTCAGGTGCATCTAGCGTGGGATCCGAAGTAGATGTAGAGATCCCGCTAGAAGCTTTGATGGGTTTAGCATTGGGTCTCGGCTTATCAGGTATAGCACTGTCATCGACGTGTGCTGGCTTGAGACGATCAATGCTGACGATTTCGACGCGGCCATGTCGATCAACCTTGAAGGTCTTTTCGTGACGGGAAATCACGTGAAAAGGGCCTTCGTAAGGCTGTTTGCTCAGATTGACCGTAAGTTATCGTGTACCATAGTTGGGAATGACTAAGTCATACGCAGCGCGTAGTCGAAGCATCGTAGCTTGAGACTTACTGTTACTGATAGGTACGACAGAAACTTAGGTACCTGTATCCACGAGGCACCTAGCGTTAGTGCGATAATCGTGCACGTAAAATAAACGGTCAACCTGAGGTGAAGTGCCGGCGAGTACGGCCGCATTTACTCGCCGGCTGAGGAGTTTCCCGTCTTGTATGAACAGGGGGCTCGACAATGACGGGCACCGGCCCCGAAAGCACGGTGAAACCAGCACCAACTCAGACTCGCTTCCGAAACCGCCTTCTGGCGTGGCTTGTAAGATGCACGCTTGGGGCGAGTCGTTACGGCTGTTCGAGATCGTGACCTGGGTCGGGGGACGTAGGGGGCTGGCACGTTTGTGCGGTCTCGGAAACTGAGACGAGTATGGATACATCTGTTCCTATCCCCATGAGCCGGAGGTCGTCTAGCATCGAGATCAATGTTAGAACGGGAAGTAGAGGCAACAATATAGTTGTCTTTGGCGCTAACACGTGCTAGAATCTTGTCTGCTATGAGGGCCACCTTGTTCAGTGGGGTGTCCTCGAGCAGGGCCGTAAGAGTTGGTTGGATACTAGCTGGTAATGCTTCGAGCCATAACTCTTTGACTATTTCGGAGTCTGCTGTCGAGTTTCCTGAAAGGGATTGCAGACGCGTGAGGTGGTGGCTCGGCTTAGCATCACCCATAGGGTGACGTGCTAAGAGAGTCCTCAATCTTTCCTCTCTTGATGGGAGGAAATGTCGAAGGATGGCATCCTTAAGACGGTCGTAAACGTTCGGAACGTTCGGATTGAGGACAACCTCTCGAACAGCAGTTAGGTGATCCCCGGGCAATGATTCCAAAGTGTAGGCGTACTTTTGCCTTTGGTTGGTTATGCGGCGGATCTCAAATTGAGATTCCAGTGCCGCGAACCAGACTTCTGGATCATGAGGGATGAAAGGAACCGGTCGAAAGTTGATAACCTGTACCTCGGAGTCTATTATATTTATACTACTCTTATCGCTATCCACCATGGTAAGTTGCCAAGATATTATATATTGAAAAATATCAATACGAATATATGCAACAGAAGTGGATAGATAAATAGACTCACCGGATTGATCTGGCTTGGAGAATTGGCCAAGTTTGAACTGTGCTCGAAGAATTGGGTTACTGGTTGTGGTTCACCAGATGTGCGTGTTCCCAATACGGCTCACCAGTTTGTAGTGGATGTCGAGTCGAAGACGGACTATGATCACCACTACAATTCGTTTACGCGCCCAAAAACGACTTGGTTCCTTTGATAGCTCGTAAATCAGAAGGCTTTATTAATCCAGATCAATTGTATTTATCGGCGATCTCGTGGTATCGAAATAATACCGAGACGTGACAAAGAGTACAGGCGAAAAGGCAGTGCATGAGCAAGTTCAAACCAAACAAGGCGGAGAGCGAAAGCAGAAGTGAAACTGATACAGTTAAACAAATACAGTAAAACAATCTCTGGTACAATTGGTTACAATAATAATAATTGTTTCCGTTATTCCAATCGTGTTCTTATCGAGACTGGCCGGTCACTACAGGAGCCCCCCCGCTAGAAAGGGTTTACACTTTCGATACGTAGCGGTTTCGTTCGTGGGACTGATCGCGAAACGTGCAATTGTAGGACGAAGGCGTTGGCAGAACAGGAAGTGATCGTTGATCCTCGAGTTGCCACCAAAAGTCTTTGACGTAGAACGGTACCAGAAGGAATGTACTGTATTGATTGCTTGGATTAGCATGCTACACCAGAGTGGTTTGTATCCAGAGGGTCCACGTTCACGAGGCTGAATCATGCCATCCCACTGAATGCACGGATACACATATGATCTGCTTGCTTACGTTAAATGAAGAGTAATTCACGTACTACCTCTGCGTTGTTGAACTTTGTTGCGTTGTCATTCCATGCAAGTCATTATCCACTTTCTAAGATTTGCGTTCAAGACATCCCAGAGAAAGCATACAGTTATACGTGCGGTGTTCGCATGAAATTACAGGATGTGATAGAAGGTTTTAGTGCTGTGGTGCTTTTTTCCAACACATTCCAGATGCAAAAGAACGGCTGGTATCTTTGAAAACATCACAAATGACAACGGAGTCCAATGATGGAAATGGGACCTGTTAAGGGTTGGTTTTATGCATACTTTTGGTTCAATATCAGCTATCTTTAGCTTTACTGTGTCTATCGAATCTATTTTTTGCCCATGGATTAAATAACATACATTTTCGGGATATTGCGTCAGCTATGACACTTGAATTTCTCTCAATCTATCGTTATATGTGGCGACTTGCGAGATGTAGTCCAGCTGTCGTGTTTCCCACAGTGAATGCCAATCATATGACTTACTAAGGGAATAATACAATGATTTATGATTTCTCTACTATGGATCACTTTCTTTGAATTAAGAAACATAAGTGCGTCATTGATAACCATTTCATCAATAGCAGTTTACGAGGCGACGGAGTATAGTATAAGTTTAGTTGTTGAGTTTAGAATTTAATGTGATAGCAAAATGGCAATGAATCACAAAGTTCTGGAACATCTTTTATGTCAGGCTTAAAACTTAGGCGTTCTTGCTT